ACTCCGACCGAGTACCCTCCGTTGATGGACGCTTCCTAGCTTGCGCCGAGGACCACAAGCACTGCACCGGACACCACAACCACCGCAGACTCCGCAACCGTTGTAGCTTGACCGGAGTCTTGCCGTCTTCCTTCCACCCTGGATCAGCTTCTGTCCTCCAGGACCGTGTGGGAAAGACCTCTTCCTTCCACCCTGTATGAACCTCCAGCATCCAGGACTGTGCGGGGAAGACCCCTCCTCCAAGGAGAGCGTGTCAGGAACAAGATCTTAAAAGAGCTAAGTGATTCAGGCTCAGGGGAGCATGCAGAGCATAGCAATCCCCAGTGTGATTATAACAGCTCCCTCCAATTACAAGACAAGACTACATTTAGAGCAATCAAGAAGAAATGTCTAAACCTTTATTTTACTTTATTTTACTAGCCCATATGGTCATTACATTAACAATGCTGTGAAAACACAATACAATTACAAACAGCCAAATCATAGCAGGCAACATACAGTGACTTATTATAACACAATGGCATATTTTTAAAGGGGTGGGGGAGACATTATTTAACAGAAAATATCTCACCTGCCTGCAGAATTAGCAATATGCAAATCTACCCGAATATGCAAATGAACCAGTCTTGCTTTTCAGGTAGAGCATATTGCTGTTGCTACCAACAGAGGGCACTAGACAAGCTCCATAGCCAAACCCACCTAGTTGGTAGCAAACCTCAGCAGTACAGGAGAGCAGGCAATACATTACACAGTACACACACACACACACTATAAACAATTACATGACACACACCCTGCACCTATAATGGGTACAAGGTGACTAAAACATAAGAGAAATAAAGCAACCTACATAAATAGTCTGTCTGAAGGTAGAATAGGGGCTTTAAAGCCAAATACATCAAAGAGTCATAGTCACAGGGGAGGAGGCTGGCAAGCAGGCCTCTCCAGGACCAAGTGGCGAAGGGCCCTTCGTCACAGTAGACAACCCAAGGTATTGCAAACAAGGTATGCCCAGTCTTTTTTTTAGTAGCCACTTAGTCACAAACACTGGCCAAAGTTAGTGTTAACTCCTCCCCCACAGACAGGAGGACCTAATGCGAATGTGCAGTAATGGATGCGCTCGCATTAAGACTTCTCCCATAGTAAAGCATTGAATAATGCTTTCATATGGGGTGTCGATTGAAGCTGGATGTCCTAATGCATAGCGTGCGGACTTCGAGCATCAGTTAGGTCACCAAAAATTGCTTTACCACCCAGAAGTCCATGTAGTGGTTGTCTAGTTATTAGACACTGACAGTTACTAGAGGTGGAGTTAATCCAGGCAGATGATTATTGCAGTTTATCAAAAACTGCAATTATTGCCATTGCAGGGTTAAGGAACCTGCGACACTGCACCCAGACCACTGCAGTGAGCTGAAGTGGTCTGGGTGCCTGCCTATTATGGTTGCTACCTGGCTGGTATTTTACTGGCACAGCCTGTATTTGATGCCGTGTGGCCAAAGCCGGTATTGTAAATATACCGACAATGCAATTGCCTGTATTTTTCTGACAGCATAATGTTCTGCAATACCGGCCACCGGGTTGTGCAGTATTCTCAGGCAGAGCAAGATTGCCCTCTCCACTGACAGAATCCGCATGGGAGGCAGGGCCGCCATCAGGGGGTGACAACATTCCCTCTCTGCACACATAGATAGCGAGTATTGCTATCTATGTGTGCAGCCACGGGCCCCCGGCTTCCTGTTCCCGTAGAGGGGGCCCAGCACACTGCCTGTTCTCCTCTCTTCTCTCTTTTAATAACTCTCGCGAGACCCGAGAAAAGGCAGTGTTTATATTGAAAATCCTGCAGAGACTGACTATAGAAACAAGCACAACTACATTAAGCTGTAGGGCTTCTGGTGGCTATAGTGTCCCTTTTTTGTCATTGAAAATTAAACTTTGTTAGTTTAAAAAAACTGTCTCCTAACTTTTCTTGCTGGCTCCTAGATTTCAAACAGATTTGTCAAGCCCTGTATTCAGCAGTCTCTGTGTGTGTATTCTGCAGTCTCTGTGTGTATTCAGCAGTCGGCGTGTGTGATAAATGGCATGTACACGCATTGTTATATACTATAATATAAACAGACGTAGTAGACACGCTCAGACTACAGTATGCATTCACTATTATACACATTTAGATGATACACTACTCAACACACACTTATTGAGAAAGTACACACACTGCCTCACATACACAATGCTATATGCACAGTCAGGGCCGCCATCAGAAATTTTGGGGCCCCTAACAAAGCACAAGGTCTGGGCCAACCCACCACCTCCCCCCGGGCCCGCCCAAACCCTACCTGGTCCGCTGACAATGATGCAGGACTGAATGTGGTGTGTATAGTGGAAGTGAATTAGAATATGTGTAATGGATGTAGTCTTTGTGTGTATTAGATACTGTTTGTACAGTGAATGCAGAGTGTGTGTTTGTGTAGCGGATGCAGTGTGTACAGTGAACGCAGAGTGTGTTTGAGTAGTTGATATAGTGTGTGTACAGTGATGTAGTGTGTGTTTGTGTAGTGGATGTAGTGTTTGTATGTACTAGATGAAATGTGTTTAGGATGCAGTGTCTGTAGTGGATGTAGTGCGTGTATTAGACGCAGTGTCTGTGTATAGTGAATGCAGAGTGTTTCAATGTGTGGTGGATGTAGTGTGTGTACTGTGAATACAGGATGTTTGTGTAGTGGATGCTGTGTGTACAGTTAATGCAGAGTGTATGTTAGTGTAGTGAATGCAGAGTGTGTCAGTATAGTGAATCCAGAGTGTATGCATAGTTTAGTGAATGCAGAGTGTGTGTTAGTGTGTAGTGAATGCAGAGTGTGTCAGTGTAATGAATGTAGTGTGTGTGTTAGTGCAGTGAATGCAGTGTGTGTAAATTTGTAGTGAATGCAGAGTGTGTGTTAATGTGTAGTGAATGCAGAGTGTGTGTTAGTGTAGTGAATGCAAAATGTGTTAATGTGTAGTGAATGCAGAGAGTGTGTTAGTGTGTAGCGGATGCAGAGTGTGTATTAGTGTAGTGAATGCAGAGAGTGTGTTAGTGTGTAGCGGATGCAGAGTGTGTGTTAGTGTGTAGCGAATGCAGAGTGTGTGTGTTAGTGTAGTGAATGCAGAGTGTGTTAATGTGTACTGAATGCAGAGAGTGTGTTAGTGTGTAGCGGATGCAGAGTGTGTGTTAGTGTAGCGGATGCAGAGTGTGTGTTAGTGTAGTGAATGCAGAGTGTGTTAATGTGTAGCGAATGCAGAGTGTGTGTCAGTATAGTGTATGCAGTGAGTGTGTTAGAGTGTAGTGTATGTAGAGTGTATGTTGTATTAGTGTATGCAGTGTGTGTTGTATTAGTTTATGCATGTGTGTGTTAGTGTATGCAGTGTGTGTGTTAGTGTATGCAGAGTTGTGTGTTATTAGTGTATGCAAATTGTGTGTTGTGTTAGTGTAGGTAGTGTGTGTGTTGTGTTAGTGTATGCAGAGTGTGTGTTGTGTTAGTGTATGCAGTGTGTGTTGTGTTAGTGTATGCAGAGTGTGTGTGTTGTGTTAGTGTATGCAGTGTGTGTGTTGTATTAGTGTATGCAGAGTATGTGTTGTGTTAGTGTATGTAGTTTGTGTGTGTTGTGTTAGTGTATGCAGAGTGTGTGTATTGTATTAGTGTATGCAGTGTGTGTGTGTTGTGTTAGTGTATGCAGAGTGTGTGTTGTGTTAGTGTATGCAGTGTGTGTTTTCGTTATTTATGCGGTGTGTTGTGTTGGTGTATGCGGTGTTGTTAGTGTGTCACAGGTGTGTGTTGGATGTATGCAATGTGTGTGTTGGTGTGTCTGGGTGTGTTGTGTTGGTCAGTATCTGATGTTGTTTGGTCAATACGGTCGTTGGTCGTATTGGGTGTGTGTTGTTTTAGTGTATGCAGTGTGTGTGTGTTGTGTTAGTGTATGCAGTGTGTGTGTGTTGTTTTAGTGTATGCAGTGTGTGTGTTGTGTTAGTGTATGCAGAGTGTGTGTGTTGTGTTAGTGTATGTAGTGTGTGTGTGTTGTTTTAGTGTATGCAGTGTGTGTGTTGTGTTAGTGTATGCAGAGTGTGTGTGTTGTGTTAGTGTATGCAGTGTGTGTGTGTTGTTTTAGTGTATGCAGTGTGTGTGTGTTGTGTAAGCTGTGTGCTGCCTGGGCCCCCTCTGTTGTGTAAGCTGGTGCCCACGGCTGCACACATAGATAGCGATATTCACTATCTATGTGTGCAGAGAAAGAAAGTGGGGCCCAGGACTGCCAGAGCAACAGTCACGGTTGTCACCCCCAGATGGCGGCCCTTTGAACAGTCAGGTAAGTACACACATTGTAAGTAGTATATGAGTGATTTAGGGAATTTTCTCCTTCCAAATATTCTCATTCTTTTATGTACGTCGTGTCCTGTGATGTCACGCATTTATAATTAATTATACAAATTAGCATGGACAGTATTTTTTTTCCGAAGAAAGGTGACAACCCCAGAGCCTATAGTGTCCTTTTACACTAATTGTTATTTATCAGTAAAAACGTGCCCTAGCGTATCCTGTTCTAAGCTAGAGATCGCTCGCTAGGCAGACTGCACTGCTCATGATGCTCAGACAGCCAGATTACCATAGCTGCAGGTTTGCTATATAACCCGTAGATTATACTATATAAACCTATCCAGGTGACATACTTGAAAACGAGAGAAATCTCAATGTACCTTTCCTGGTAAAATATTTTATAAATAAATAAATAGTCATAAAATGTGATAAAATGCCTTGATTTCCCCAATATTGTGTGACTTGGAAGGTGACACATTGTGCTCAGCGGTTTATACACTGCAATGCTATACAATGCTATATAATGATATATAATGATATATAATGATATATAATGAGATGTGAGCATATTGCTACACTGTATCACTGATACTGCAGGGAGCAGGCAGCACAGCTAGGCCGCAGCGGCCCCGGTTGCTAGGTAACGCACACAGACCGGAAGTCCGCCGAGAACCGCTTCCGGACACGTTCTGTTGATGGTTGCATCAGAATTTGCCGGAATCGCTGAGAATGGCAGCTGCTGGGGATCAGAGTGAGTATACCGGCGGCTCAGAGTCAGAGTCAGTGGAGACAGCACGAACAGTGTGTAATAACCATGTAATAACATGCTGCATGGGGACAGTGACATGTGCTGCCTGTCATTGTACATTGCACTATATGGACTGCATCTTACAGCCTGTGTGTGATTATTATATGGACTGCTCCTTATAGCATGACCTGTGTGTGATTATTATATGGACTGCTTCTTACAGCCTGACCTGTGTGTGATTATTATATGGACTGCTCCTTATAGCATGACCTGTGTGTGATTATTATATGGGCTGCTTCTTCCAGCCTGACCTGTGTGTGATTATTATATGGACTGCTCCTTATAGCATGACCTGTGTGTGATTATTATATGGACTGCTTCTTCCAGCCTGACCTGTGTGTGATTATTATATGGACTGCTCCTTATAGCATGACCTGTGTGTGATTATTATATGGGCTGCTTCTTCCAGCCTGACCTGTGTGTGATTATTATATGGACTGCTTCTCATAGCATGACCTGTGTGTGATTATTATATGGACTGCTTCTTACAGCCTGTGTGTGATTATTATATGGACTGCATCTTACAGCCTGTGTGTGATTATTATATGGACTGCTTCTTACAGCCTGTGTGTGATTATTATATGGACTGCTTCTTACAGCATGACCTGTGTGTGATTATTATATGCACTGCTTCTTACAGCCTGACCTGTGTGTGATTATTATATGGACTGCTCCTTATAGCATGACCTGTGTGTGATGATTATATGGACTGCTTCTTACAGCCTGACCTGTGTGTGATTATTATATGGACTGCTTCTTACAGTATGACCTGTGTGTGATTATTATATGGACTGCTTCTTACAGCATGACCTGTGTGTGATTATTATATGGACTGCTTCTTACAGCATGACCTGTGTGTGATTATTATATGGATTGCTTCTTACAGCATGACCTGTGTGTGATTATTATATGGACTGCTTCTTACAGCCTGACCTGTGTGTGATTATTATATGGACTGCTCCTTATAGCATGACCTGTGTGTGATTATTATATGGGCTGCTTCTTCCAGCCTGACCTGTGTGTGATTATTATATGGACTGCTCCTTATAGCATGACCTGTGTGTGATTATTATATGGGCTGCTTCTTCCAGCCTGACCTGTGTGTGATTATTATATGGACTGCTTCTCATAGCATGACCTGTGTGTGATTATTATATGGACTGCTTCTTACAGCCTGTGTGTGATTATTATATGGACTGCATCTTACAGCCTGTGTGTGATTATTATATGGACTGCTTCTTACAGCCTGTGTGTGATTATTATATGGACTGCTTCTTACAGCATGACCTGTGTGTGATTATTATATGCACTGCTTCTTACAGCCTGACCTGTGTGTGATTATTATATGGACTGCTCCTTATAGCATGACCTGTGTGTGATGATTATATGGACTGCTTCTTACAGCCTGACCTGTGTGTGATTATTATATGGACTGCTTCTTACAGTATGACCTGTGTGTGATTATTATATGGACTGCTTCTTACAGCATGACCTGTGTGTGATTATTATATGGATTGCTTCTTACAGCCTGACCTGTGTGTGATTAGTATATGGGCTGCTTCTTACAGCATGACCTGTGTGTGATTATTATATGGACTGCTTCTTACAGCCTGACCTGTGTGTGATTATTATATGGGCTGCTTCTTACAGCATGACCTGTGTGTGATTATTATATGGACTGCTTCTTACAGCCTGACCTGTGTGTGATTATTATATGGACTGCTTCTTACAGCCTGTGTGTGATTATTATATGGACTGCATCTTACAGCCTGTGTGTGATTATTATATGGACTGCTTCTTACAGCCTGTGTGTGATTATTATATGGACTGCTTCTTACAGCATGACCTGTGTGTGATTATTATATGCACTGCTTCTTACAGCCTGACCTGTGTGTGATTATTATATGGACTGCTCCTTATAGCATGACCTGTGTGTGATGATTATATGGACTGCTTCTTACAGCCTGACCTGTGTGTGATTATTATATGGACTGCTTCTTACAGCATGACCTGTGTGTGATTATTATATGGACTGCTTCTTACAGCATGACCTGTGTGTGATTATTATATGGACTGCTTCTTACAGCCTGACCTGTGTGTGATTATTATATGGGCTGCTTCTTACAGCATGACCTGTGTGTGATTATTATATGGACTGCTTCTTACAGCCTGACCTGTGTGTGATTATTATATGGGCTGCTTCTTACAGCATGACCTGTGTGTGATTATTATATGGACTGCTTCTTACAGCCTGACCTGTGTGTGATTATTATATGGGCTGCTTCTTACAGCCTGACCTGTGTGTGATTATTATATGGACTGCTTCTTACAGTATGACCTGTGTGTGATTTATTATATGGACTGCTTCTTATAGCCTGACCTGTGTGTAATTATTATATGGACTGCTTCTTACAGCCTGACCTGTGTGTGATGATTATATGGACTGCTTCTTATAGCATGACCTGTGTGTGATTATTATATGGACTTCTTCTCATAGCATGACCTGTGTGTGATGATTATATGGACTGCTTCTTACAGCATGACCTGTGTGTGATGATTATATGGACTGCTTCTTATAGCATGACCTGTGTGTGATTATTATATGGACTGCTTCTTATAGCATGACCTGTGTGTGATTATTATATGGATTGCTTCTTACAGCATGACCTGTGTGTGATTATTATATGGACTGCTTCTTACAGCCTGACCTGTGTGTGATTATTATATGGACTGCTTCTTACAGCATGACCTGTGTGTGATTATTATATGGACTGCTTCTTACAGCCTGTCCTGTGTGTGATTATTATATGGACTGCTTCTTACAGCCTGACCTGTGTGTGATTATTATATGGGCTGCTTCTTACAGCATGACCTGTGTGTGATTATTATATGGGCTGCTTCTTACAGCCTGACCTGTGTGTGATTATTATATGGATTGCTTCTTACAGCATGACCTGTGTGTGATTATTATATGGACTGCTTCTTACAGCATGACCTGTGTGTGATTATTATATGGGCTGCTTCTTACAGCCTGACCTGTGTGTGATTATTATATGGGCTGCTTCTTACAGCATGACCTGTGTGTGATTATTATATGGACTGCTTCTTACAGCATGACCTGTGTGTGATTATTATATGGGCTGCTTCTTACAGCATGACCTGTGTGTGATTATTATATGGGCTGCTTCTTACAGCATGACCTGTGTGTGATTATTATATGGACTGCTTCTTATAGCATGACCTGTGTGTGATTATTATATGGACTGCTTCTTACAGCCTGTGTGTGATTATTATATGGACTGCTTCTTACAGCCTGACCTGTGTGTGATTATTATATGGGCTGCTTCTTACAGCATGACCTGTGTGTGATTATTATATGGACTGCTTCTTACAGCATGACCTGTGTGTGATTATTATATGGGCTGCTTCTTACAGCATGACCTGTGTGTGATTATTATATGGGCTGCTTCTTACAGCATGACCTGTGTGTGATTATTATATGGACTGCTTCTTATAGCCTGACCTGTGTGTGATTATTATATGGACTGCTTCTTATAGCCTGACCTGTGTGTGATTATTATATGGACTGCTTCTTACAGCCTGTGTGTGATTATTATATGGACTGCTTCTTATAGCATGACCTGTGTGTGATTTTTATATGGACTGCTTCTTATAGCATGACCTGTGTGTGATTATTATATGGACTGCTTCTTACAGCAGGACCTGTCAGGCTGTAAGAAGCAGTCCATATAATAATCACACACCAGGTCATGCTATAAGAAGCAGTCCATATAATAATCACACACAGGTCAGGCTGTAAGAAGCAGTCCATATAATCATCACACACAGGTCATGCTATAAGAAGCAGTCCCATATAATAATCACACACAGGTCAGGCTGTAAGAAGCAGTCCATATAATAATCACACACAGGTCAGGCTGGAAGAAGCAGCCCATATGTGATTATTATATGGACTGCTTCTTATAGCCGGACCTGTGTGTGATTATTATATGGACTCCTTCTTATAGCCTGACCTGTGTGTGATTATATGGACTGCTTCTTATAGCATGACCTGTGTGTGATTATTATATGGACTGCTTCTTACAGCATGACCTGTGTGTGATTATTTTTTGGACTGCTTCTTATAGCATGACCTGTGTGTGATTATTCTATGGACTGCTTCTTACAGCATGACCTGTGTGTGATTATTCTATGGACTCCTTCTTATAACATGACCTGTGTGATTATTATATTGACTGCTTCTTATAGCATGTCCTGTGTGTGATTATTATATTGACTGCTTCTTATAGCATGTCCTGTGTGTGATTATTATATGGACTGCTTCTTATAGCATGTCCTGTGTGTGATTATTATATTGACTGCTTCTTATAGCATGTCCTGTGTTTGATTATTATATGGACTGCTTCTTACAGCCTGTGTGTGATTATTATATGGACTGCTTCTTACAGCCTGACCTGTGTGTATGATTATTATATGGACTGCTTCTTACAGCCTGACCTGTGTGTGATTATTATATGGACTGCTTCTTATAGCATGACCTGTGTGTGATTATTATATGGACTGCTTCTTACAGCCTGTGTGTGATTATTATATGGACTGCTTCTTACAGCATGACCTGTGTGTATGATTATTATATGGACTGCTTCTTACAGCCTGACCTGTGTGTGATTATTATATGGACTGCTTCTTACAGCATGACCTGTGTGTGATTATTATATGGACTGCTTCTTACAGCCTGACCTGTGTGTGATTATTATATGGACTGCTTCTTACAGCATGACCTGTGTGTGATTATTATATGGACTGCTTCTTATAGCATGACATGTGTGTGATTATTATATGGACTGCTTCTTATAGCATGACCTGTGTGTGATTATTATATGGACTGCTTCTTACAGCCTGACCTGTGTGTGATTATTATATGGACTGCTTCTTATAGCATGACATGTGTGTGATTATTATATGGACTGCTTCTTATAGCATGACCTGTGTGTGATTATTATATGGACTGCTTCTTATAGCATGTCCTGTGTGTGATTATTATATTGACTGCTTCTTATAGCATGTCCTGTGTGTGATTATTATATGGACTGCTTCTTATAGCATGTCCTGTGTGTGATTATTATATTGACTGCTTCTTATAGCATGTCCTGTGTTTGATTATTATATGGACTGCTTCTTACAGCCTGTGTGTGATTATTTTATGGACTGCTTCTTATAGCATGACCTGTGTGTGATTATTGTATGGACTGCTTCTTATAGCATGACCTGTGTGTGATTATTGTATGGACTGCTTCTTATAGCATGACCTGTGTGTGATTATTATATTATATGGACCTCTTCTTACAGCCTGACCCGTGTGTGATTATTATATGGACTGCTTCTTATAGCCTGACCTGTGTGTGATTATTATATGGACTGCTTCTTATAGCCTGACCTGTGTGTGATTATTATATGGACTGCTTCTTATAGCCTGACCTGTGTGTGATTATTATATGGACTGCTTCTTACAGCCTGACCTGTGTGTGATTATTAAATGCACTGCATCTTACAGCCTGTGTGTGATTATTATATGCACTGCATCTTACAGCCTGTGTGTGATTATTATATGGACTACTTCTTACAGCCTGTGTGTGATTATTATATGGACTGCTTCTTACAGCCTGACCTGTTTATGTGTGATTATATACACTCTATGATTCTTGTGTCGACTGTGTGATTATTGTATTGATTAGACTGTGCGATTATTATATAGACTGTTCTTACATCCTGACCTGTATGATTGATTATTGTATACACTGTGTGATTATTATATGTACAGTCTCTTACATTCTTATCTTTATTGGTTACAGTGTGTTTGTGTAGACTGCCTTTTACATATATCCTGACCTGCACGTGTGTCTGTGATTATTATATAGACTGCCACTTGCACCTGACCTGTACTGGTGACAGTGTGCTTATATGTGTGACAGTGTGGTTATTATATCCTAATCTGCATGTCTGACAATGTTGTTCTGATGTAGGTTATCCCTATCCGTACCCTGCACTGCATGTATCTCAGTATCATGGCCGTTACTGCTTCCAAATATATGTAAATTTTCAGTAACAAGACCACATTCATATCAATATACAGTTTATGTTTACAGGATCATATGGAATAGTACAGTATGTTAAACGGACACTATAGCGGAGGGACGGGGGGGGGGCTAGCTTTCCCATAGGAGATCATTGCTGCAATGATTTTTACTGATGCAGGATGTCCTCGTGCAGAGCGTGAGAATGTCCAGCGTTCGTTAGGCGACCAAAACTCGCCCAGGAAGCACCTCTAGTCGCTGTCTTAATACTGCAAAATAACCATTGCAGTTTTTTTTTTTACATTGCTGGACTAAGGATTATTATATGGGCACTGCACCCAGACCATTTCAATGAGCGTATGTGGTCTGGGTGCCTGTAGTGTCCTGTTAAGATTTTTTGTGTGTAGAAGGAAATGATTTTCACTCACTTTGCTCTACCAGTACTGAGAAAAATGACACAAGAACAAATAGCAGGCATTAATACTGCAAAAAATCATTAATGATGACTGACAAAACCATTTACTTAAGCGATATTTGTTCATGAAAACAGTCAATCTATTTTGCAAACAACTACAAATTTACCGTTTAACACCTTAAGGACCAAACTTCTGGAATAAAAGGGAATCATGACATGTCACACGTCATGTGTCCCTAAGGGGTTAAAGAGCTATTTTTTAATTGATTGCGAGGGGAATAGTGGTTTAAAAAAAAAAAGACAACACATACAGCCCTTCTTTGTTCTGGGCAAGTTTATCACCCCGTGAGGCTCAAGGCAAACTCATGCACAATAAGGCATATGTGCTGAAATGCAGTCCTCGCGCATGCATAACTGGTCATTTCTCGCACAGTACTATATTTCCATACGATACACCGGGGGTAGGAGGTTTAATTACGTTTACATGATACGTTTTCACTATGGTTGGACAGCCAGGTATACAATGTAAATTCAAAAAAATTCAAACTACTAGGAATTTTAATAAAATAACAGCATAAACCACAGCTAGCTTTTAAATTGTGCAAACTATCAGACTATTCCACTTAAAAGAAGTGATTCTAGAAATTCTAAAAATGTTGATACTACAATCTGAAGTTAGTGTCAATAATTGTGGAAATAATGTATAGGTGTGGCTTTTTCCATATTTGAAATGGTTTCTGTTGTGACCTGTAGCTGTAATTTCATGCTGTTTGTACATAAATTACATTTCACTTGCATTTGCTTTTTGTTTATATTTTTTTAAAGAGATACTATAGGCACCAAAACTACTGTAGCTTGATGAAGCAGTTTTTATGTATGGATCATGACCCTGCAGTTTCTAGTAGACAGCCACTAGAGGAGGACTTAACCCTGCAATGTAAATATTGCAGTTTTTGAAAACTCCAATAATTACACTTGCAGGATTAAGGGTAGTGGGAGTTGGCACCCAGACCACTCCAATGGGCAGAAGTGGTCTGGGTGCCTGGAGTATCCCTTTAATATAGAATTTATCTACTGCTCTGTTAAAGGACCACTATAGTGCCCTGAGGATGCCCCTCCCGCCAGGCTGGATGGCGAGGAAAGGGTTAAAACGTACCTTTTTTTCCAGCGCCGGGCGGGGAGCTCCCCTTCGGCTGAATGCGCATGCGCGGCAGGAGCTGCACGCGCATTCAGCCAGTCTCATAGGAAAGCATTCATAATGCTTTCTTATGGACGCTGGCATCTTCTCACTGTGATTTTCACAGTGAGAAGCACGCAAACGCCTCTAGCGGCTGTCAATGAGACAGCCACTAGAGGCTGGATTAACCCTATTATAAACATAGCAGTTTCTCTGAAACTGCTATGTTTATAAAAAAAAAGGGTTAATCCTAGAGGGACCTGGCACCCAGACCACTTCATTAAGCTGAAGTGGTCTGGGTGCCTAGAGTGGTCCTTTAATGGCCAACAAGAGCCTGCAGGAGCCTCCCGTGTGAGACTACAGTTTAATTTACAGAGTTAAAACTAGAGTATGGTTAGATCTGATTAAAAAAATTAAAAAAAAATTTTTCTCATGCAGGCTGTGTCAGTCACAGCCAGGGGAAGTGAGGTTAGGTCTGCAATAAGCAGAAACAAGAGTGCTTTAACTCCTAAATGTCATAGAATTAAGCAGTGAAACTCCAGGGGCATGATATATACACCAAAACTGCTTCATTAAGCTAAAGTAAGCTTGGTGACGATAGTGTCCCTACATGTAGATTAAATGGCAGTCTGCATAGACCCACGTATACACAGCACGCAATGGCAGTCAGCAGTAGGTATCCATTAATTTATTCTCTGCAGTAGATACATTCCATATCCAATACATCAGGGCAACACTTTTCATGTGCTGCCATTCTGTATGTATATGTCATGTAAACCATCCTGGTTATATGGGGGTGTCAGCCATGTCTTGAAATGCACTCTGGGTACCAAATAGCAGCAAGTGATGTCATAGACAGGGCCTTTTGTACACCTTCTAATGGTTTTATAAATGTATGGTTTAATGTAACTGTGAAGCACTTTGGGCAACAACCTTGGCTATTAAATGTGCTATATAAATAAATAATAACACTTACTCCGCTCACTCCTGTTGTAGACTACTGGTGGAGGCAAGAACACTTCACACAATTTCCCCAGAAATTGTAGCTTTTCTAGTATTAAATTAATTGTCTGAAACTGTCTCCCAGTGTGCTCATGAGAAGCTTTGGGCATGAATGTAGGATTAGTGAAAACATGATAGCTGTGGGTTGCTGGCATGATCTTTGGTTGGATTTGTGGTTCTTCCAACCAAAGAGGGTTTCAAAATGGCTGCATTACAAAACAAAACGCAAGAAGGCTATACTACTGTAAGCTTTCACTTTAACCCCTTAAGGACCAGACTTCTGGAACAAAAGGGAATCATGACATGTCACACATGTCATGTGTCCTTAAGGGGTTAAACAATACAAATATGTTGATTGTTTTTCTTTGATAAATGTAGCCCTTGATAGTGTTTTAAAAAGTCATTTAGTGTAATGAACTGTGTTTTGCCAGTCTTTACACAGGTAAAGAAATTCTGTAGGTTTTATTGCTTATGGTTGACTAAGCATGTGATAGGCTCGTTAGGAAAGTTTCCGAGACGTGGGCGGCAGGTAATTTATACTGGCGTTCAGTAAAATGTGCTATATAAATAAATAATAACACTTACTCCGCTCACTCCTGTTGTAGACTACTGGTGGAGGCAAGAACACTTCACACAATTTCCCCAGAAATTGTAGCTTTTCTAGTATTAAATTAATTGTCTGAAACTGTCTCCCAGTGTGCTCACGAGAAGCTTTGGGCATGAATGTAGGATTAGTGAAAACATGATAGCTGTGGGTTGCTGGCATGATCTTTGGTTGGATTTGTGGTAATTTATACTGGCGTTCATTAAATGTCCTACATTGGATTTGTAATTGGAGTACAACTGTTTTGTCATTTCACCCTCACCTGTTTAATAGCCAGTAATTAATGTTTCAATTTGTCTCTTCCTCGTCATATCTATGTGATTTATTACTTTAGGTTAACTAGCATATATACTTCCCTAGTGTCCTTTTTTAGGAGGGAAGTCCATAATCAGTCTTCGTAAATAAGACACATTTTTCTTGTTCTAAATTCCATTTTAGCGGGATACAGTACGTTATTGGTAAGTCACCTTAAAATGTCTCAGAAGAGCCCCGCACCTGTTCACACCCTGTTAATAGCGCTAAAATAAAAGTGTTATTCATATGAAATATTGGGAGATATGCCAGCATCATCACAGCCCTTTCCGTGTTGTGTAGGGGTGTTCCACACACATTGTAGGAAATAGAGGTTTTTAGCTATTCTGTGAAAGTGACAATCCAAATTGGAATTGCCCACCTCAAGTTTCAAAATATTGAAAAATTAAAGATAGATATCTCCTGGTTATGCGTGTTTTTTTACATTTGGGTTTTTGATAAACCTCACATATACTATATATGTCTATATAATGAAAAACCCATAATTTTGGGCTCGACAAATTCCAGATGCCGGGTTGCCATGGCAACCAGGAATTTTGTTCTGGTGCCTGGTTTTTGTGTGCCTGTTTCCTCCGAGGCGGGCGGCAAGGGAGATGTGATATTCTGATGCTGGGGGCTGCAATATGATGTTGCCCCGGCATCACTAAGCGGCGCATGAGGGAGCAGAGCAGGAAGATCAGTGCTCCCTTGCCGCCTGCTGTAATATGCCGGCACACCTCCTTTCCCCCGTAGCTGCCCACTCATTGGACCCCAGGAACGCCGATGCACTCTAGTTCTCCGATGGTAGGGAGGCTGGATGGATTTAAATTGAAACATATAATAATGGTATGTGTTAGTCAGTGTATTTTGTGTGTGTGTTCAGAATACAGAATGTCTGGGCACACCCCTGGTTTCCTCATAAGGCAGTCTTTAGGGGAGGAGCACAGAAAACAGACAGAGTTAAACTTCTAAGACAGCTGCTAAGAGCTGTCATTTGCATGCTGCCATTGTTAAAGAGACACTCCAAGCACCATAACCACTACATTTTGCTGTAGTTGATATGGTGCACAGATGCTCCCCCAATGTAAGTAATGAAATCTTTTAGAACAATTTGCCTTATTACCTGGGGTCGGCAGAGTGTTACCCCTAGTATGGCAAACCGGAGAGCTGGAAGCTCTCTGTCGGAGCTAAACCCGGAGGTGCAAGGCTCATTTCATTGGTTGAAAGGGATAAATTGGCAGTCTCAGCCAACACGCTAGCCCTATGGTGCAGGGCTTAGCGCATGATAGCTAATTAAACTCATAAGCAGGAGCTTCCAGCTCTATTGGGCTGCTGAGGATGTGTTGAGCAGCACCTGGCGCACCCCAGGAGAGAAGTCAGACTGTTCTAAAATGTTTTCTGTGTTCCTTTAATGCTATCCAAATTCGCCTCCCCTGAAGCACGTGCTGAGTTACCAATCACTTCACACAGTTCAGATTAGTAACCAGAGTACTGGGCTCCTATGTGATGGGTTAACACTACTTGTCCCATAAATCACTGCTGGACAGAGAATAATGGATTAAGAACAGATCCGACAGACCAGAATCAGAGGTTCCTGTTAATTTTCTTTTCTTTTCATGATTTAAAGAAACACTATAGTGCTGGAATACATCATTTGGTCCCAAGCCCTCCTCTCTCTGGAGATTAAAGGTGTTTTTAGTTACCTATTCTTCCTTGCCGCACCAGTCTCGCCACGGCTGCTCCCTCCTCCTTATCTGATATCATCAGTCTTGATGATCTCAGCCAATCACTTGCTTTCCTGTAGGAAAGCACTGGGAGGCTATTGTGTATGAACGGTAAGACGCAGCCCTCATTTCCTCATAGAGATGCATTGAAACAAGCATTCAGCATCTCCTTGCAGTGTGTGGAAACGCTAAATGTAGGTGCTGCACAATATGCAGCACTGACCCAGGAAGCACTTGTTGTGGCTGTCACTAAAGGTGTTTTTAGGCAGTGATGTAAAAGGCAGTGTTTATATTGAAAAGCGCGCGGGCAAGCTGTAGACACCATAACAACTACATTATCTATAAAATATGATGGTTGGGGAATATTGTTTCCTCTTTAAGTATAGTATTTCCGCTTTGTTTTTCAACACATCGGATTGTGAAACTTTCATCAATGAAAGCTCCAGTCACACCCTGTTTATGATCTCTGCAAGCAAAGATTCATACAGTGTTTCTAGTTTAATAAAGGCGCCTCCTCTCCTTGATCCAGCTCTGACCAGAACGACCCAGCTTTATCTAAATCACATAGCTCCTTTGGAAAGTACCACCGCCAGCTGTGAATTGTTAGCAGGTCTAAGACTTCTCCTGAGAATTGATCATACGTATAGGAAGTGTAGTCGGTGCCTCCCTCCCTCCCCTCAGAAGTTACCAGAAAGATTTACGGAGACTGGTAACCCTGTTACATTGTTACTATCCTATTATGACACCTGTGGGTTGCTAGTGGTATTGTTTCTATAGTTCTGTTAATCTGTTGAAATTGTTTCATCCTATTCTGTCACAAAAAAATACATTTCATCTTTTTTTCTTTTTTTTTTTTTCTTTGAGTGTTATAGTTTTCATAAAATACACAAGGAAATGCAGGGACTGCTTTTCCTTATCTATATAGCAGCCAAACGTTGACACAACTTGACAATGGGCAGAGCATACGCAGAGTACTATTTCAGTTGCCAGTCAGATTTACCCACAATCCATCAGCAAAATGAGTTCCACCGAAGGAAATAGCAAATATCATGGGCAGAGGAGAACAAAATGGCTGCACCCAGGAATTGAAATCCGACACAAGGAAGAAAATATAAGTAGAAACAAGGAAGGATGTATAATCATTAAGATACAAGGGGCATAAGGAAAGAAAGAAAAAAAAAATTAAAATGACAGGGCTGCTTTAAGAGATTTGTTTTTTAAAGGACCACTCGGAGAGGGCGTGCTTCCTCATTTGCTTTGTGCTGTAGCACATAGAGAAGAATGACAGAAGCAGCATGCATCCTGCTTCCCAATACTTCATTTAGTGATGGTCTCCTTGAGGCCGAGTGGAGCTGTGGTGGTGTGTTTATTTAAAACTCAGGACAAAAATTTAAATGTTTGTTATAATATACACTTTATAATTAAACTATACTGACATAACTGCCGTCACTAAAGTAGGACTTTTAATGCAAATTAATTTGTGTTTACCCTTTGGAAAAATGAATTGTATCAGTGTGCATGTTTTGCTTACCCGCTTGTTTTTTTTTTTTAAATTTTAGTGCATGTTTTCTGAGTTGATAGTAAGATGATGACAAAAATCGTGTATGTATTGCTTTTTTTTTTTTTTTTTATGATTTGGCTACTCTGGTCTTAAAGGGACATTATAGGCACTCAAACCACTTCATCTCACTGAAGAGGTTTGTATACAGTGTTCCAATTGCAGTTTTAGGCAAAACAACGCTGGAAACGACACTAGGCTTCCCATAGGAAAGCATTGAGTCAGTACTTTCCTATGTGGAAGGCTTCGCCATGCATTAACATTAACATTTTTTTAAATTTTTTTTTTTTAAATGCTCTTCGCTGTGGCAGGGCTGGAGAGGGGAAGGGGGATACTATATTTGTGCAACGTAATCTACTGTTCCCATGATCCTTTACTGCTTTGGAATTGTATAATTGCGCATGATTTGCTTGTTTATGGAGCACTGTGGTAACCCTTGTTGATAAACTGTTTTGTGCATCTCTTGCAGCTCAGAGCTACCATTCTATTCTGAACATTAGTGAGCCGAATGCCAGACTGAACGCTTTGAACGAGTTCCTCAGCACTCGTAGTTATATCCAGGGCTACACGCTTTCTCAGGCTGATATAGATGTATTCAAACAGCTCCCAGGACCTCCTCCTGATCATTACTTCCATGTGGTTCGGTGGCAAAAGCACATAGCGGCAATCTCTAGTGACTCTACTGTAAAGAGTGCCTCAAATAAATTGCAGTTGTGTGAGTAACACATTTCTAAGTATCTTCATGTTTATAGAACATAGTTATCAAGAGGAGTGTTTGCTGAATGACACTGACGTGTTCCTCTTTGAAAAGCTATCTGGATTTCTTATTGAGGTTTTTAATTATGGAGTTGTTTTTTTTTTTTTAGTTACCCTTTATAATTTACAAGTATAGAAGCCAGAGATTGGTTATGCACAGGAACCATGTAGCACTTGTAACCATGTAGAAAAAAAAAGTTCCTTCTTGGAGTGCTTTACGTAGACTTAATATGATGATCCCCGTTCTTTATAACTTAGTTTGTGTTTCTGGAGTTCTCTGGATATTTGGTAACACTGATTTTTAACCCCTTAAAGGACCACTATAGTGCCAGGAAAACATACTCGTTTTCCTGGCACTATAGTGCCCTGAGGGTGCCCCCACCCTCAGGGTCCCCCTCCCGCCCGGCTCTGGAAGGGGGAAAGGGGTAAAAACTTACCTTTTTCCAGCGCTGGGCGGAGAGCTCTCCTCCTCCTCTCCGCCTCCGTTACGCCCCGCTGGCTGAATGCGCACGCGCGGCAAGAGCGCATTCAGCCGGTCTCATAGGAAAGCATTTACAATGCTTTCCTATGGACGCTGGCGTGCTCTCACTGTGATTTTCACAGTGAGAAGCACGCAAGCGCTTCTAGTGGCTGTCAATGAGACAGCCACTAGAGGATTAGGGGGAAGGCTTAACCCATTCATAATTATAGCAGTTTCTCTGAAACTGCTATAATTATGAAACAATGGGTTAACCCTAGAAGGACCTGGCACCCAGACCACTTCATTAAGCTGAAGTGGTCTGGGTGCCTAGAGTGGTCCTTTAAGGACACAACTTCTGGAATAAAATGGAATCATGATGGAATATTTCCGTCATGTGTCCTTAAGGGGTTTTAAACTATTTTCCCTTTTCAAGGCCTGAATAGTGGAAAATGGGATATTAAAGTCCATATTATTTACAATTCGAGGGTGCCAAAGTTTTTTTGGGATTTGTATCCTGGATATTCCATTCTTTTATATCCGTAATCTGGGAAGTAAATCATTTGACATATTTTTGGCGCAAATGTGCTGTGAGTTAGTGGAATGGCAATATTCCACAGGATGTTTGGTATGTGCTGGTGCAATACGCTATGACCCTGTATCCACTGTGCCACTGTATTAGAAGCATCATTTCATGTACTATCTGTGTTAGCCATGTGGTAGCTACTAAACACATATATTAAATGCTGCCATTCCTTATTTTGTTTTAGTATTTTTTGGGGTTTTGGCCCTTAAAGGGACGCTATAGTCACCAGAACATCTACAGCTTAATGTAGTTGTTCTGGTAGTATAGTCAGTCCCTGCAGATGTTTTGCGGTAAACACTGTCTTTTCAGAGAAAAGGCATTGCTTACATTACAGCCTAGGAACGCCTCCAGTGACCACTCATCAGATGGCTACTAGAGGTGCTTCCTGAGGCATTGCTGCACAGTGTGCAGCACTGACAGTCAGTGTCTACACCCTCAGCCTGGAGAGGCTGAACTTTCCTCATAGAGCTACATTGATTTAATGCATCCCTTTCAAGGGATATTCTGATTGGCCAGGGTGGTGTTTGGCTCCACCCCCCTAGCCCACCTCTTTGGCTGAGATCATCAGAATTCACAATCTCAGCCAATCAAATGCTTTCCTATGAGAAAGCATTGTGATTGGCTAAAATCACCAATTCTGAAGATGTCAGCCAAAGAGGCAGATCAGGGGCAGAGCCAGCACCAGTAGACTGTAAGAAAGGTACGATTTTACTATATTTAGTGGGGCTAGTGGTCTAGATTGACGTTTGTGTTCCTGACCCTATAGTGTTCCTTTACTTTTTTTATTTTTTATTATTGAACTAGGATTTCAAATTACTTGTTTTTTTTTCTGTTTAAGCCATTCTGTTGTTGATTTACTTCTATGCTTCGGGTCATTGTCCTGTTGCAACACCCATCTTCTGTTGAGCTTCAGCTGGTAGACAGATGGCCTTAAGTTCTCCTGCAAAATGTCTTGATAAACTTGGTAATTCATTTTTCCTTCGATGATAGCAATCCGTCCAGGCCCTGACCCAGCAAAGCAGCCCCAAACCATGATGCCCCCACCACCATACTTCACAGTTGGGATGAGGTTTTGATGTTGGTGTGCTGTGCCTTTTTTTCGCCACACATAGTGTTGTGTGTTTCTTCCAAAAAACTCAACTTTGGTTTCATCTGTCCACAGAATATTTTGCCAGCACTGCTGTGGAACATCCAGGTGCTCTTGTGCAAACTGTAAACGTGCAGCAATGTTTTGTTTGGACAGCAGTGGCTTCCTCTGTGGTATCCTCCCATTAAATCCATTCTTGTTTAGTGTTTTACGTATTGTAGATTCGCTAACAGGGATGTTGGCATTTGCCAGTGACTTTTGTAAGTCTTTAGCTGACACTCTAGGATTCTTCTTCACCTCATTGAGCAGTCTGCACTGTGCTCTTGCAGTCATCTTTACAGGACGGCCACTCTTAGGGAGAGTAGCAGCAGTGCTGAACTTTCTCCATTTATAGACAATTTGTCTTACCGTGGACTGATGAACAGCAAGGCTTTTGGAGATACTTTTATAACCCTTTCCAGCTTTATGCAAGTCAACAATTCTTAATTGTAGGTCTTCTGAGAGCTCTTTTGTGCGAGGCATCATTCACATCAGGCAATGCATCTTGTGAAAAGCAAACCCAGAACTGGCGTGTGTTTTTTAAAGGGCAGGGCAGCTGTAACCAACACCTCCAATCTCATCTCACTGATTGGACTCCAGTTGGCTGACATCTCACTCCAATTAGCTCTTGGAGATGTCATTAGTCTAGGGGTTCACATACTTTTTCCACCTGCACTGTGATTGTTTACATGATGTGTTCAATAAAAACATGGCAAGATTTCATTCTTTGTGTGTTATTAGTTTAAGCAGACTGTGATTGTCTATTGTTGTGACTTAGATTATGATCAGATCACATTTTATGACCAATTTGTGCAGAAAGCCATATCATTCCAAAGGGTTCACATAGTTTTTCTTGCAACTGTATATGGTGGTCTTCCAGTTGGCCATTTCTGCTCTCTGATTTACCTGTGTTAAAGAGACACTGTATGACCTGGGCTGCCCTTGTGCCTCCATTAATATGCATATGCACAGTTACGGAACCTTTTCACACAAAAAAAACTCCCAGTTAGCTAGGAGGGCCTGGTGGAAATGCTCATGAGCTTGGCAATACCCAGGAGCCAGAGACACGTCCTTAAGAAAATCTTGCTTCTTGTGATTAACTTTCAGGAGAATTTTATTTAAAACCCTTCGAAAGCATCCATTCAGTACAGTAGCTATTAATAAGATACTTTTGGCTCTTGGTTTGTATTTTCAGATACTGTAAAGCATGGCTTTGGGGGATGGGGCAATAGTTACTAAATATTTGTCCAGCGTCAAAAATATACAAAACCTCTTTACACACAGAGCTTCACATGGAGTAAGAAGCTGCCGTTTAACATGTCACAGTCAGTATAGGATGTATTTTGTTCTAGGAAGGTCAGTAAAGATACAGAATGTACATTTTTCTAAATTATTAAAGGACCACTGTAGGCACCCAGACCACTTCAGCTCAATGAAGTGGTCTGGGTGCCAGGTCCCCCTAGTTTTAACCCTGCAGCTGTAAACATAGCAGTTTCAGAGAAACTGCTCTGTTTACATTGCAGGGTTAATCCAGCCTTTAGTGGCTGTCTCCCTGACAGCCACTAGAATCTGCTTCTGCGATTCTCAGTTTGAAAATTGCATTAAACTCACGCTGGACGTCCATAGGAAAGCATTGAGTTATGCTTTCCTATGGGCGGTTTGAATGTGCGCACGGCTCCGGCCGCGCATTCGGAGCGGACGTCGGTAGGGGGAGGAGAGGTCACCAGCGCTGAGGGAGCCCAGCGGGATGGGGGCATATTTATCAGAGTGTTCTGAAAAGTAGTGATTAAATTCCGTGAACTAAAAAGTGGCTTTTCTTCATAATTAGTTTGCCATAAGGGACACTATATAGTCATCAGAACAAATACAGCTTAATGTCGTTGTTCTGGTGTCTATAACCTGTCCATGCAAGCGTTTTAATTTAAAACACTGCCTTTTCAGAGAAAAAGAACGCCTTGTGGGCTGACCTCATCAGAATTGACGATCTCCGCAAATCCATTGCTTTCCTATGGGAAATCAATTCTGATGATGTCAACCAAGGAAGCGGATAAGGGGCGGAGTTTGCGCCGACAGACACGCGCAGCGCTGGAATAAGGTAGTTTTTACTATATTTAAGGGGGTAAGGGAGAGCCTGGGGGCTTTATAATGTTTTTTTTTTTTTTTAACACTATAGGGTCAGGAATACACATTTAATTTCTGACCCTATAGGGTTCCTTTAATTCAACCGGATACATTCTTTAGCTAGTTTAACAAACTTCACACATTTTTTTTTTTTTAATGGAATTTTTAATCTTATTTCAGGTAAGGGAAGACGCACTCAGCCACAATGGTTAGCTCCAGAAGCCAAAGAACAACCAAAACTACGTCTGTATAACAGTCTCACCCGCAACAAGGTATGCTAAATAATTGCTACCAAACCTTACTCCAAGCAGAGTAATGCTTTGTTGGTCATGGCACCTTTTAGCATATTTTTAAATTTTTTTATTAAAGTACTATTTTATACATTTCAATTGCGAATGAAATGATTATTCAGTTTGTTTTCTTTCATTTCTGTAGGATGTGTTTGTGCCCCAGAAAGGTAAAAAAGTTACGTGGTATTGCTGTGGACCAACTGTGTATGATGCCTCTCACATGGGACATGCTAGGTGCGTGTACAATCGACTCATGTTTATAAAGACTGTTCGAATCTTCCGCGTATATGATATTGCATCCCCTCCTTTAGTATTTATGGCCAGAGTTAGTTCTTTCCTAGACACATTTATGCATCTAGGAGAGGGTTTGAAAATGGATTAGTCACCATGTAAACATGGGGTATCAATCTGCTGATGGCTCAACTTTTATTTGTTCCAGAATTGCTCTTTATTTAAGACCCACGTTGTATAATTTGCGTTTGCCTGTCCTTTTGTTTAAATAATGCTGATGATGTGACAGAGTTCTTTATTGTTATAGCTTCACCATCGGTTTGTCGATAATGGCATTTTAAAGGTCTGTTGGTCGATTTGTAGCTGTCATGGAACCCAGTATTATGTCCATCCCAAAAAATCAATCCATAAGAAATCTTAGCATCAGGTTAACCAAATAAGAGCAAAACATATTTTAATAGGAAACGGTTAAAAAAAAAAAAAGATAATCTTAATGTTTCTGTTATTAAACCATTTGGTGTACATGATCATATCTTCCACAAATGTTATGGATAAAAAGAAATCAGCTCTTAGTGATAGGGGGTGAAGAATTGCTGCAACTGGAGACACTGTTCCTTATATGTGGCCCATATAAATTTCATGGTGGGCCCAATGTGTGCGTGGGCTGCAATCCATTTTATGGGCACTGCTTCCTTGAATTTCGTAGATTAGCACAACAAAGGTTTGCTTCTGTTTAAGTATTATTAAAAATATTTTTTTTTTTTAGGTCATATATTTCTTTTGATATCCTGAGGAGAGTGCTAAAAGACTATTTTAAATACGATGTGTTTTACTGCATGAATATCACCGACATTGATGATAAGGTAAGACACCGGTCCAATATTATGTTGTTTTGTCTTTGGCGGTGTATTTGTTTTTTGCGTGGTGATAAACGCTCCTGAATCTACTTTTTTTCTTATTGTTGGTACAGGCATGGGGGAGGGAGGAGGTGATACAAGAATATATCAAGAACATTAGAAGGTTCACTGGTTAATGTTTCAGATGTAATGCCACAGCTTTTCATCTGACAGAGGTCAATAAAATGAATACTATTAGGCTAGGTTTTAATAACATCTAGGTTTCATGTTGTACTTAGTAATGTGCGAAAGCTAAATGTTTCTTTCCTGGTTATGATTGATCTGATCTGGTTATTATTGATCTGATTATTATTATTAAAAAATCATAATTATTACTTTGTCATTTTTTTAGATTATTAGGCGAGCCAGACAGAACTATCTGTTTCAGCAATACAAGGAGAGACATCCTACTGCCTCCGCTCTCCTGTTTGATGTCAATACAGCATTAAAGGTTTGTACTCATTATTACTCTAATCCAGTGCTTCTCTCATTACAATGAGATACATTGACTGCTTGTTGGGTGAGTAGCATGACTCTAAAATAAGTCATATCAGAAAGCCTCATATTAAGGAAAATTAAAGAGAGTATACATGTTTACATCTGTTTTCAGTCTACTGTGACATCATCTCTAATGTGTGAGTTAAATAGTAAAATCAGCTTTATGAAATACAGGAGAAATCACTGGGTTCTGCCTAGTTTAAAGGGAATTATAACTTCAGTGAGATTGTGTTTATACTGCCTAGAGTGTCTCTTTAACACACGAAAAGCATTTCAGTCTATCTAGGGCAATAGCATGTTAGTTCAAAGCGGTACTTAAAGGGTTATTTCCAGCAAAAAAAAACAAAAAAACAATGTTTTAATAAACCATTAATTTTGGATGGAGCAACTCTTATTGGCATCCCCTCACTCAGAAAAATAGGGAAAACTTAAATTTAGTACTGAGGCCAGGTTCTTCCAGCAGCCTGACTCCTCATCTGGCGTCCCTTCCCTCACTGGAGGGGATGTTGAGGAGGACTTGGATGGCAAGACGGGGGTGAGGCATGCCGCCATTGGCTGTCTGTCACCATCATGGTCTGCATGCTGACGATCCATTCAGAATTGTCAACATGTATAGTCACCAGAACAAATACAGCTTAATATCCCTGCAGGCATTTTAATGTAAAACACTGTCATTTCAGAGAAAAGAACGCCTCATGGGCTGACCTCATCAGAATTGATGTTCTCTGCAAATCCAGTGCTTTCCTACGGGAAATCAGTTCTGATGATGTCAACCAAGGAAGCGGATAAGGGTTGGAGTTAGCGCCGACAGACACGCGCCACACTGGAATAAGGTAGTTTTTACTATATTTAAGGGGCTAAGAGAGAGCCGGGGGCTTTATAATGTTTTTTTTGTTTGTTTTTTTGCATATCATTGACATAATAGTGGATAGTGTACAAGTGTAACTTCTGCTATGTAGGTAGCAACAAAGGGGACAGTTAATGTCTAACCATTCAAAATAGTATGAGTTAAAAAAAAGTATGGATGGCTTGTACAATAAGTAATTAGGCTGGAGTGATTGTGATTAATAGAAGGCCCCGGTAATTATCAATTTGTCTTACACACTAGTAGATTCTTAACTGTTTCGGGGATGTTGTTTTACGCTGTCAATATAGTTATTGGGATTTCTATTGGTGACATTTGTACAGTTTTATGACTGACTTTATTACATGACTTTAAACTACAGACAGTTCATCCATCGACTCAAAACTCCCTTTGTGAGAAATGACTTCTCAGAGCTGTCGGCATTTTCAGTGGCATGAGAAAAGTGAGAGAGATGAAAAGGGGAAGCTGTGGTCAGAATTCTGATTTAAACTGTACATTCAGTAGCTATTTTTACTTGCACAATGTACAGATAGTTGCTATATTTCTGCCTTGCTATATGGAGTCTGTGAAATTCTAAATATTACCCTTGGTAAGGTGTGAACAAGCAAATTTAAGCCCTGTTGTATAAATACATATTTTTTTTTTTTTTTTATATATATGTAATTTATAACTTTTGCTTTAACTAAAACCTTTGGACTAACCAGCGTGCTTGGGTCCTTTTTAACACCTTCCCCTCCACAGCCATTTTTACAAAAGCTCAATGAGACCACTGATCCTGATAAAAAGCAGATGCTTGAGAAGATTGAGAAGGCCGTGTCTGCTGCAGTCCGTCCACTCGAGGAAGCCCTGAGTCAAAGTTCGGCCGAGGGAGAAATTTACACATGCACACGGGTTAGAGTTATTCTTATCACATTAAACATGCAACCAGTATGAACAACAAGGGCACAGTGCAAACTTACTGTGTTATATAAACCAATAGATGGAGCACTGCCCTTGATTCAGCTTTAGTACCCATTGTCAGAGTTAGCCAAAGGTAGGAGTTGTGGATTTATGGAAAATGTTTTTTTTATTTAATTTACTTTTCCCTACACATTTAATATTTATATATGTAGGTGTCCATATAATGACATTATAATCGTAATAATTAACATTTAATAATGTATCCTATTAAATTCATGAACACTGTTGTGGTTTAAATTCTTGGTAAATAATATGTAAAAAAAACCCTTTCAGGAGATGATAAATTTTGTTTGCTAAGCCACTTTTTAAAGGACAATTTTGGGGGGATTTTTTAAGAGTGTCGTATTCCAAAGAATGCTGTTCTAAATGGGTGGAGTCACCAATGGAATGTGATACTTGTTCCACCAGTTTCCATAGTGATTGCCATGTTTGGAATCTTTACCACTTTAAAGACTACGACACTTTGATAAGTCCTCAGATTCACCACAAGTTAACAGACTAATCTGTATATGTTTGTGAAAATGTGCATGGTCCCTTTTGTGCTCAATCAAGAGTCTGTTCAGCTGCCACAAATGATTTTCTTTGGACCACTACTTTGAAATGTTCACTAATCAATTAAATAGATTAAAGGGACACTATAGTGACAGGAATACAAATAAGTATTCCTGTAACCAATATAAAAGGTGAATTTACTTCCTATTATGCCAGTTCTGCGAAACCCCATTCCTTTAGATGAGATCATCACAATTGGCGATCTAAGCCAATCCAATGGTTTCTCATAGGAAAGCATTGGCAGGCTATTGCGCTTGCCCAGCAAAACACTGCACTAATCAGCACCTCCTCATAAAGATGCATTAAATCAATGCATCTCTATGGGGAGCGTTCAGCATCTCCGTGCAGAGTGAGGAGATACTGAACATCAGAAAGCATATCTAGTGGCCGTCTGAGTGACTGCCACTAGATGTTTTCTCTGTTATTAACACTAAAATGACTGCAAGGACAGGCTGTAGACACCACAATGACTACATTTAGATGTAGTTGTTCTGATGACTAGTGTCCCTTTAAATAGGGTGCACTGACTCAGTCGAACAAACTACAAAAGTTAGAAACAGATGGTTTTTCCCCAACTAAATTTAATGTTGTATTATTTTATGTGTTCTAGATAGTTTAATATAATTTGTAGTATATGTGATCTGTATATAGTGTCATGAGTTAATAAAACACGGGGGAGCTAGAACTTAGACTGGGAATGGAGAATTGAAAAGTGAATTGAACATTTTATGCCAAAATAGTTCAAATGGTACATTTTTCCTGCTCTCCTGTTTTTCCACAATGCTTGTAAAAGACCAGAAAGTAACTGGAGAACTGAGTTTATATATTTTAACCCAATGATTTTTTTATTTTATTTTTTAGAAATTGCTGGAAGAGGCTGCAGACTTGCTGTCAGATTGGCTGGATACCCAGCATGGTGCTGAAGTTTCAGATAATTCAATTTTTTCACAGCTTCCAAAGTACTGGGAAGGTGAATACCATAAAGATATGGATGCTTTAAATGTAAGTACAACAAAGTATTGCCAAGACTCTGCAATAGAGAAACCTCCATCAATCCTCTGATGTCGATTGAGGCGGATAACACAAGTCATAACCTCGTTAAAAAAGACAGTTTTCCAAGTTGTAGATTTTTAAAAAATATATTTTATGAGAGCCGCTCCAGATATTTGTATTTTTTGGGTAGTGAACTTTAAAACATTCAGACCATTGGACCTAATTGTTTCATCTAGATTTAAATCTGGTTTTAGCATAAGCTGTTTATGTACTGTTTGGATTCACCTCTTTTTTTTTTTTTGTATGTTTACTGCCTTGTGAGCACATTTATACATAAAATAAACAAGGTACAAGTCATTGTTTGATCTCTAGCTGAAGGTCATCTGGGTTAGGCTGCAGATGCTGCCACTGTAAAAGATGGTGTTGCCATTGGAGAATAAAATATATATTTCAAGGCTGTTTACCTTGCAGATGTAGAATATACTGTTTTTAAGGAAGAAATTATGTTTTAATTGTATAAGGAATAACAAAGTGCTGGCAGTCAGTACCTTTTAGGGGTCGGGCTGAGCTTCCCAACACGCTCAGGGTGCGGGCTGAGCTCCCAAAACATTCAGAGGATGGCTTAAACCACACAGAATGCTGACTGACTACCTCATAATTTCAATAAGTGTTAAGACACTTTTGATAACAGACCCATGTAAGTCAGGTCAGCTATAATAATCCTGCATTTGGTTTTCGGTTGTGCTAATCTGGTCCCAATGTTCTCCATAGGTTCTCCCTCCAGATGTGCTCACACGAGTGAGTGAATATGTGCCAGAAATTGTGCAGTTTGTGGAAAAAATCGTGGATAATGGTTATGGGTAAGAGTTTTATTATAAACGGTTTATAAATATTTGGGGTTTGACCACAAAACTTTTACCATGCCGACAGTCTTAAATCTAACCTTTTGTATTTCCAACGGCTCCAGCTATGTGGTGGTGTACTTATGTTGAAAACCTGATTTTCTAATTTATTTTAGAATTTTACAAAGGAGAAAAAAGTGCCCATTTGTTTCTCCATTCTAGGGCCAGTCTACTTATATATGCCAAAGTATATACAACCAGATAGCAAAACAGCTGACTATCTAAAAATAGAAAGATATGCAAAACATAGTGTAAATCCACATTATAAAATGATGTGCGCTGTAACTAGATGCACTCACAAGAAGGTAGCGTAATTAGGCATTCATAAGGTGCCTCCCCAGATGGTGGCAGGGGCTGTTGTTCACTTCCCTGGACGTACGCCACTGGAATACAGGACTTCAGGTGGTCAGTTGAAAAAAAGCGGCTTTTATTGAATACAGCACAAAAAATTATTTCAAATAAATAAGAATGTGGTCAGTCCTACGCGTTTCGTCCTTAGAGCTAGGACTTCCTCAGGGACCATATATTAAATGCAAATCATAAAATGACAATATGCCACAAAAAAGCAGCTACTTATATATGCAGCAGGATGCCATGGTGTTAATCGACAACAATTAAATAATTTAACGTCTTGATAGTCAAATAGCAGAAATATTACCAAATTAGGCAAGGTAGATAATCAGCTTGATTATTTTGGCCTAATGTTTGTGATTTTGTTGCCAGTTCACCATTTCATGGCTTAGTGTAGGGTTATCCAAACTCTGGCCCTTCAGATGTTGCCAAACTACAACTCCCTTGAGCCTCTGGTTATCTATTTCAGTGGTTCCCAACCCAGTCCTCAAGGCACCCCGACCAGTCCAGGATTTAAGGATTACCAAGTTGTGTGTAAGGTGTTTTTTTTCTTCTTTGTAAAAACACCTTAGACACAACTGGGTAATCCCTAAACCCTGGACTGGTCAGGGTGCCTTGAGGACTGGGTTGGGAACCACTGATCTATTTCATTCATAGAATTATGGCAGTTATAGTTAAGCAATAGCTGGAGGACCAGAGTTTGTAGAACCCTGGCTTAGTGAAGTAAAATCCACTGCTTTTTTAATTTCACTAAACAGTGCCTCGTGGGGCTTCTTGATCTGCTGTGTGGTATTGAAAGGAATTGAAGCCACATCAGAGCTGTCCTACAAGAAGCTGTGTGGCCAACAGAAGAGACATTTAAACTCCTGCAAACTGTGATTGTCACTTTTTTATCTCTATTTTTTTTTGCTTTCATTAAAATAATTGTCGCTTTTCTCTAATGTCTCCAGGTATGTGTCCAATGGATCTATTTACTTTAACACAGCCAAGTTTCACAGCAGTGACAGGCATTATTATGCCAAACTAGTTCCTGAAGCTGTCGGAGATCAGAAAGCTCTTAATGAAGGAGAAGGTATTTTATGTGCATTAACTACAAGGATATAGGATCTTTCACTGGGTACATGCAGTGATCACACTCGAGACTTGTGGGATGCTGTATTTGGTATAGTGAGATGGGATGAGAAAGCACGTTTACCGATGTGGCCATATTTCTAGAGGAGCTGCTAGCCAAGTATCTAGTTAATAATCCAGTTGCTAAATGCATTCAAATATGCAAGTTAAAAATAAATATGGGTTTTCTATTTTCTTCTTCAAACAGTTACCAAGTGCCGAAATTCCTGACATCTTAACTGCAAATCTTGCTTTAGTTAAGCGGATCAACTTATTTTCCTTGTATGTGCTGAGAAGTGTCAAGTAAATGGCTTTCTCTGTGATCTGCAAATCCAATGCTTTGAATAGACAAACATTACTTAATTTAAAGAAAAGTATTTGATGCTTAACCGCATTATGTGAGTGCTGAAAGCATTTGCTAGCATCGAGCTGAGTGACCGCTCGATGCTAGTGTCGAGTCAAAAAAGCATACGGGTCCTCCCCCATCCTTCAGGTCTGGTGCTAAATGGTAGGGGGAGTGATGCAATTGCTGGCATATAACTGAACACTGTACAAGCTCCAGTGCTCACACCTGCAAGTACTAAAGCCAACTCTCTGCTTCAGCAGTTTATGATGTTATGCACACTGATGCTGAATGTGAAAAAATATATAAATATAAATTATGAAAGACCCCACTGATAGTGCAGCTGTTTAGAGGGCATGGTTAGAGTAAAATAAAACCAGTGCTGTATTCTTCAAACAGCCCTGAATTAAACTAGAAGGCTGCAGGGGCAGATTGTTTGCACCAAAACCACTTTATTAAACTCTTTTACATGTTTAGATTGTCCCTGTAGTATTGCTAAAACAAATCTCCATTATTTACTAATACAAATTTAGCAAATTCAAAAAAACATGTTTTTTTTATATCATTACAGCTAGAATATGGATAATGACACACACGACTGTTTTGTTTGTAAATTGTGATCTAATTATTAACATCCTCAGGTGACCTCAGCATCTCGGCAGATCGTTTGAGTGAGAAACAATCGCCAAATGATTTTGCCTTGTGGAAGGCGTCCAAGCCTGGAGAGCCTTCATGGGACTCTCCGTGGGGAAAGGTAAAGGCTTTAATTTATGTATTTTTGTCTTCTAAAATATTATCCGTTTACATTTATCTTGTTTCTTTTTCTTTCCTTTTGTTCTGAAATAGACTTTTATTAAATCTAAAGTTTTCTGCACCTTATAGGGCAAATACAGAAACACATCTCATTGACAGGAGCTGGGTTAAATGGTTACCCCAGTCATCATGACTACTAAAGCCTGCTGTATTATGCCATGAGTGCCCTGGGGCTATTCACTGGTAATAGGGCAAACTATTTCACAATCATTTGTTCTCTTACCTGGTCCTGCCGAGTGCCAATGGTCCTCTGAAGCAGTGGTTACGACATCCAACTTCTGCATAATCTGGATGCCGATCCTGCCACTCATTCATTGGCTGAGAGTGTCATATTCTTAACCAATGAATTAGATTCTGTTCATCCAAATTTTCACAGTGTTAACATTAGCCATCCCAGGACTCTAGTTACACGGTACACATACAGACTAAAGCACAATGATCACTTTACATAGTTACATAGTTGAAGAGACTTGTGTCCATCAAGTTTAACCTTTCTCACATATTTTTTTGCTGTTGATCCAAAAGAAGGCAAAAATCACAGTTTAAAATCGCTTCCAATTTTTGCAACATACTATGATAAAATTCCTTCTTGACCCCAAAAAGGCAGTCAGATGTCTCCTTGGATCAAGAAGCTATTACTCACCCATTAGAAATTATATCCCTGTGTGTTATGTTTTTGCAAGTATTTATCCAATTGCTGTCTAAACACCTGTATGGACTCTGCTAAAACCACCTCTTCGTGCAGAGAATTCCACATCCTTACAGTTATTAATGTAAAAAAAAACTTTTCTTTGCCTTAGACTGAATCTCTTTTTTTTTTTCCAGCCTAAATGCGTGACCTTGTGTCCTATGTATAGCCCTGTTTATGAATAGATTTCAAGATAATGGTTTGTATTGGCCCCGAATATATTTGTATAATGTTATCATATCCCCTCTGAGGCGCCGTTCTTTCAAACTAAAGAGATTTAATTTTTTTTAACCTTTCTTCGTAACTAAAATGCTCCATTCCTTTTATCAGTGTTATAGCCCGTCTCTGCACTTTTTCTAGTGCCATGACATGCTTCTTTAGAACAGGTGCCCGAAATTGCACAGCATATTCAAGGTGTGGTCTTACCAGCGATTTATAAAGAGGCAAAATTATATTTTCATCCCAAGAATTTATGCCCCTATTTATACATCACAAAACCTTACTGGCCTTAGCAACGGCAGTTTGACATTGCATATTGCTGCCAAATTTGAAAAAGAACCAGGGCAATTTGCATATTAGGCTGATCCCATCCAAAAGGGTAGTCCAGACCCAAAATGCGGGCCGTTGCTCTCTACAAGAGATACATCAACCACATACGATCGTTTCAGCCTTGTTAGGCCTCGACAGTGAGGTATAGCTGATACCCGTGAACAAATCCTTATTTAAATCACTGAAAGTATCACAGTGCCTGGAGTAATCCTTTAAGAATACCTTTAGCTAGATATGCTAAATTCAGAAAATAAAATAAAAAATGTTCAAGCCAAGACTATGGTTTACCCCTTTAACAAGAGTTGTTGTACTTTGCTTTTAGCAGAAACCTTATAAAACTCCCCTATTCTGATCACAATCTAATCTTGATGGCCACTTACAGTGTGTACTGTGTGTACCCCAATTACAAAAGGGGTCCTTCAGTTAGATGAAGGTTTTGCATCCTTTAAAGTTAAGAATTATACCACGTTGAAGTGAATTCACCAAGTGAATTGCTGGAAAGATGAAACCGAGAACACACCACAGTCTTGTGTTTTATATTATTCTAGCATGAGAATGATCTGGATTAATCTTTGTCTTATGCAGGGCCGCCCAGGATGGCATATCGAATGCTCTGCAATGGCCGGATCCATCCTTGGCGAATCCATGGATATTCACGGAGGAGGTTTCGATCTTCGATTCCCCCATCACGACAACGAACTGGCACAATCAGAAGTATGTGATATAGCTTAAACCTGGACTAATCATTTTAATATATTTAAACTGCAACTGTAGAAAACAGTGTTCGTAAGCATTCCAAACGGAGTTCTGCAGTATAGTGTTCTACCAGAACCTCAGTAAATAGGTTTAGCCAGACTTACAAATTGCTAAACTCTGGAAAAAGAAATACAGAAGTAGAATAAAAATAAAAAAACAGTGATCAGAGCTGTCTGTTGTTTTAATGTGTTTTAGAAAGATTACTTTTAAAATCTTTTTAATAATACATGGACTTTACATTTCCCAGTACTTGTTCTCAGAGCGTGATAGATATAGAACATTTAAGTGGCCACTTTCATCTTAACTTGCTATTTACCTAGTCTAAAATCGTTTGGTACTCTAGTTTTGAAAGCATTTCATATGTATTATTTCAGACTGGAGTTTTCTCCAATTGTTAATACATTATGCAGATAAATGAGGATGCATGAAAAAATATAATTTAAACATTTCCTTGGGGAGAGCAAAAAGCAAGATGCAAGAGAGTACTGAAAATGGACAACTGCTCAAGTAGCCTGCTCTTCGGTGGGGTCCCAGTTCAGATCTCAAGTTGGTTTTAGCTCATCTTGTGGCATTACAAAAAGAACCAGGGCAATTTGCATATTAGACTGATCCCAGTCCAGACCCAAAATGCGTGCCGTTGCTCTTTACAAAAGATACAGCAACCACATACGATCGTTTCAGCCTTTTTAGGCCGCGACACTGAGGTATAGCTGATACCCCTGTAGGCACTGTGAACAAGGGGTCCATGTCTGGATTGAAAACAAGCATTCTGAACTATGAGTTCTGCAGTATAGTGTTCTACCAGAACCTCGGTAAATAGGTTTAGCCAGGCTTAAAAATTGCTAAACTCTGGAAAAAGAAATACAGAAGTAGAATAAAAATAAAAAACAGTGATCAGAGCTGTCTGTTGTTTTAATGTGTTTTAGAAAGATTACGGACAACAGCTCAAGTAGCTTGTCCAGACTTGTATAGAGGATCCTGGGTGCTGCAATGGGCCGCTTCCTTCCAGCTACAGGCATAACCAGGAACCTGCACCATATGTCCACAGGCGTTTCTTCCCACAGCCAGGGCGAAGCCTTGAGATCCCCGTGATGATATATCCCCCAGGTGAATGGACAGTGTGAGGCTACTCTGACCTTCGTGGCTCACTCCCTGGGAGGAAGTTAACGCAGTGAAGCTCTGCCTTGGAGCTGTGTCATAGGAGCAGGTGAAAGAGACGGCTGTAGCGATGTCTGTAGATAACCACCCATATGTTAGTTGAGGTCTGCCACTCACGTTTGACATCTCCGCCATTGTGGAAAGGACTCGATGGAGCCAGCCTCACTGGCTTTGCCCAGATTCAGAACAGGCACAAATAGGGGAGTATGCTGTTCTTAATGGGGACTGGGACAACCCCCACCGACCCAAAGGAAGGGTGTACGGGGCTCAAAGAACAACCAGCAAGCCTGTGATCCCTTTACTCTAGAGTCCCTGTCGAGGGAAATGGCCATTTTACCCGCCGAGGAGATGCACTAGGCCGTCGCGCACGGGAGCTCGCTCAACATGCAACCACTCTGCTCAAATGCCAGGCCCCGTCCACTGAAGTGTTCATTTTACATTGCTAGATGATATTTCTATTGTTTAAACACCTTTATTAAAGCAAGGCTAATAATTGAAATTGCCAATTTATTAATACTTTGTTGCTAAAGTCAGGACTGCCATGATATATAATTATACCTTAAACATTCTTCTATGAGTACTGTTTGTATTGAGTTTTAATAATTGATTCTTGTTCCAGGCTTACTATGATAACAACCACTGGGTGCGTTACTTCCTTCATACTGGCCATCTGACCATTGCCGGCTGCAAAATGTCGAAATCCCTTAAGAATTTCATAACTATTAAAGATGCACTGCAGAGAAATTCTGGTAAGGGAATAACATGCCTTGTACATTCATGCTTTACTGCATACATTGGGAATACTCAAGTGTGCTTGAAAAGTATATGGAAATGTCAAAATGTATTTTTATACAGCAATTCGTAAAACTGTATTTATTTGGCACTCCCAGAGTGTTATGTAACAGTATGTAAAGGAGCACGTACTGTCAATCTGCAGAGTCCCTGCCCACTTTTCTGTAGAAGGTCCTATCACTGGAGCTTGTTATTTTAAACAGTTTTTGTAAACAGCATCTCTTAAAAGCTTGTATGCTGTGTGAGAAATGTGTGTGGTCATCAGAGGCTCAGCTGGTTTGGTTTCCTTTCTAGAGGGTGCTGTAATATAAAACGTGTTGGCCCCTGAGAGAGGGAGGCACAGTAGTTAGGCTTAGACCATTTGATCATCCAGTAATCATTCAATATGAAATATTGAAAGTGGGCTTGTCATTCACATATCAGTGGCTGAATTTCCTGTTTAGATCAAATACACAATTTATCCATGTGGTGTCAGATACATCTTGTGTTTGCCCCTCAAATGACAACATTTTTGTACTGCGATATGTTTAAAACCTTACGTGTGGCCCCTCCACTCTATGGATATAGAATTGAAAAAATATTTTAGGACTAATCATTTTGATAATTTTTTTTTTTTATGGTGTACTTATTTTATGGATTAAAGGACCACTATAGTGCCAGGAAAACATACTCGTTTGTCTGGCACTATAGTGCCCTGAGGGTTCCCCCACCCCCAGGGTCCCACTCCCACCCGGCTCTGGGGAGAGGAAAGGGTTAAAACTTACCTTTTTTTTCCCAGCGCCGGGCGGGGAGCTCGCCGCCTCCCCTTCCCTTCGGCTGAATGCGCACGTGCGACAGGAGCTGCGAGCGCATTCAGCCGGTCTCATAGGAAAGCATTTACAATGTTTTCCTATGGACGCTTGCGTGTTCTCACTGTGATTTTCACAGTGAGAAGCACGCAAGCACCTCTAGCGGCTGTCAATGAGACAGCCACTAGAGGATTTGGAGGCTTGATTAACCCTATTATAAACATAGCAGTTTCTCTGAAGTGGTCTGGGTGCTTAGAGTGGTCCTTTAAAGGATCAACAAGGCAATCCTTACACTGATTAGCCACAACATTAAAACCACTGACCAACATCTTGTTGAAACATTATCTGTTTATTTGGGTGGCTGAATAAACCCACATTGCACCAGGAATTACAGAGAGTCACAGTTATTGCATTGCATGATTGAAAGGTGTTAAAACACACAGTACATCGCAGTGCCCTGCATGTGGGGCTATGTCAGAGTACCCATGTTGACCCCTGTCCACTGCTGAAAGTGCCTTCAATGGACTAATAAAGCAATGGAAGAAGGTTTAACAGGTCTTATAAGTTACATTTTCTTTTCGATCAGGTGGATGCAGATGCATGTGTATTGGTTTCCTAGGAAAGAGAGGGCAGCAGGATGCACTATGGGAGGAAGGCAAGCTAGCGAAGGCAGTGTTATGCTCTGGGTAATGACCTGCTGGAAAATCTTGGGTTCTTGTGGATGTTACTTTGACACATACAGCTTACCTAGAGATTGTTGCAGACCACGTACACCATGGCAATGGTGTTCCCTAGTGGCAGTGACTTCTTTCAGGGTATGCACACTGCAAAAGTGTTTAGGAATGGTTTAAGGACCATGAAAAAGAATTCATGGTGTTGCCTTGGCCTCCAAATTCCAAAAACATTTTTTAGGTTTTTTTTTTATAGCCAATCTTTAATAAAATGTGCTCAAATATTAGGGAAATGGTCTCACAGATTGTAGTTTCCATAAAATGGTACTATATTTCTCTGAACAGCTCGACAGCTGCGCTTGGCGTTCCTCATGCACTCCTGGAAGGATACCCTGGATTATTCCAACAACACCATGGAGTCTGCTGTCCAGTACGAGAAGTTCATGAATGTATGTAAACTCTTATAACCTTTACCAACTCCAAGGGAATCCTACAGATCCCTTTACTCTAGAGTTGTTCAACCTGTCTCGTCCATATTTTTGGAGTACAACTCGCATAAACCTCTGCCATTATCAGAATATTCAGAAGATGAGGAGTTGTTTGTACAAAGGTCAAAGGTCCCAGCTTGGTGTCATCTGCCTTTAGTGACTGTGATGTAACATTTTGTTTTGCTGAGATGCTGATTTTCATCAGTATGTGATTATCTATAGCTATGTCAAACTGTTGCTGGGAACTAAATAGCCCATATTTAGGGGACCCTAAATTTAATTGGCAACTGCCATCACATGCTCTCAAAAAAAAAAACTCCAGCATAGTTTGTTTGAGAATTTTTATTAAAATATTTGTTTTGGGTTTATTTTTATGAAACCGTCAAATTGCAGTCGTATGAAAACTTTAGGCCAGGTTCGCTGATTTGGAAAATGTCCTCAAATCGGCTGTAGTCACGGATGAGCAGTTTTAGCTTGGACTTTGCAGTTCACTGTTTGGTGAATAAATACTTCTTTGTTCGTTTCAGGAATTCTTTTTGAATGTAAAGGATATTCTGCGAGCCCCTACAGACATCACAGGGCGCTTTGTGAAATACGAACCTCAGGAGATAGAACTGAACAACAGGTGCGTGAAGATGACACATTTTGGCTATATGTCCTTCACAGAAATTCTTAGTGCTTGCAGCTGTTTTTGTGACCGTTACCTTGCAGTGTTTATCATTCAGATACTTTTACATTTGCTTTTAAAAGGACGTGCATTCTGTCCTACCCCCAACCTGCTTGTTTGCTTTTTTGCTCCAGTAATATAGATGTATCAAGCGTGCACGTAAGGAGTTATTGGAAGCTATAATTCAGCTGACTGCTATCTACTGAAACTGTACTTTCAACAAGTAAATTACTCTATAAAAACAAAGATCAAAGCTATCTGCACTAGTGTTCTATTACACAGATAACCTAATTCAGTTATTTTATGAGTGAAACAATTTACTGGCTGAGTAAATAAATTACTGCGCTGCCCATTAAATTGCTGGTTCACTTCTTTTGAAAGTATGTGAGCGAGGAAAAATGTCTTGTCACAATGCCTTGTACCAGCTACACTCACTGCAACCGTCATATTTGCAGTTTATGCCCACATCTTAGAGGTATAACTTTAACTAGTTTGGCTATAAATAAAATGGAATGAACACATTTGCTAAGATAAGAGTACTGTAATGTATACATTGGTTATTTTATGACGACCATGCTGGGAAGCTGCTGATTTAAAGAAGGACTGGTAACAACATAGTCTATTTTCTCCCCATATTTCCCACCAGCTTTTATGACAAGAAAGCTGCTGTGCATGAAGCCTTGTGTGATAATATCGACACTCGGACTGTCATGGAGGAAATGCGATCTCTCGTAAGTCAGTGTAACTCCTACATCGCAGTAAAGAAAGCGGCCAAGCAGGCTCCTAACCGAATGCTTCTGGAGAATATCGGCCAGTACCTGACGGGAATGCTTCGGGTAAGTCATGCATCTCCTCCTTACAGCGTCATTCCTTCATGTACATTTAGCATTCTCTGTTTTTGACCTTGGCATATAACTACCTGATTCTTTTTCCCCACCAGTAAATATTTAGGGAGATGCTATTACTCCTTTAATGGATTGTTAATTGACCAGAATAAGCAAATATACAGGGCTTGTACATAAATGAACATTAGTAATAGTTTCCATTAAAGGAACACTATAGCATTAGGAATCCAAACATGTATTGCTAACTCTAGAGTTTGATAATAACTGTGGATTATCAGTCCACTCTGTGGGCATTTAAAAATACAAAAACCTTTTACTTATTTCCTGTTGCGCCAGTCTCTCCGTGGCCACCTCACATCCTCTGGCTAAGATCATCATCATTCGCAGCTAATCCAATCAGTCAATGCATCTTTATGCAGAGCATGGAGAAGCATAACATAGATTTTGCAATCTTTGCTTGTCCAGGAAGTCCCTCTAGTTGCTGTCAGAGTGACAGCCATCAAAGGTGGCATTAGACTACAATGTAAACAACCTCTTTTCTTAGAAAAATCTGCATTTACATTGCTCAGTCTGCCAGGACAGGCTGTATGCACCAGAACCAGTACATTAAACTTTAGTGGGTCTGGTACCTATAGTGTCTTCTTAATGATGCATCATAACAAGATCTTTGCAGATACATTGTGCATTGTTAGTCATAGCAATAAAGGTGATAGATGTGACCAGCAACTGCAGCATTTTTCTCATGTGCAAAATTTAAAAAAATATATGTATATTTTTTTTTTTGTTATCTTGCATCAACTATATAGAGGATAAGAAAAACAAAACTCACATTAGTAAAGGTTAAAAAGTAAGGCTGTGGATATGACTTTCTTAGTATATATATGATATATATAGGGGGATGTTTCCCTATGCAGTAGCACTTGGTCATAAAGAAATGACATTAAGGTCGAAACGGCTGTGGGCTCCATGTGATATTAAAGGAACACAAAGAGTCAGGAACACAACCATGTATTCCTGACCCTATAGTGTTTAACCCACCATTTAAGTGGCTTGCCCCCCCACCCCCTTGGCTCCCTTAAAAGTTAGTCAAACTCACCTTATTTCCAGCGCTGCGCAGGTCTGCCGGCGTAATACTGGACTGGTGGTGGGCCATGAGGACTGGGTTGGGAACCACTGCATTAGAGGATAAGAAGCAAATATATTTTTTCTCTTGATGCTGACTATGCCAAGTGTAAAGGGCAGAGCCTATAAAAATGGTTGACATGGAGACGCCCAGTTCCAGGGTAGAGTTACAATTTCATTTTCAAACCACACAAACGTGGGTTAAATGTTTGGCATAAATAAGCACAATGTTAAAATCCTGGGATATGGGAACCTTGTTTGGGGGAGGTTTATTATGTAGACCCAAATGAAAGATTGAAGGGTGTACTGGAACTGATTGGTAATCTGCTATGATTGATGTACCTGCCATTGAAGCTTAATACGCTAACATTACATTGAGTATATTTGTCCCCCCCCCAATCCACCCCATTTTGTTTTAATAAACCCCTTGTGCAGAGGAGTACGATCACACAATAAAAACAAACCTCAGAGTGCTCTTGAAGCTCACCTTCATATTAGCTGCCGACAGAGAATCATTAGTAATGGCATCTATGTGTAGGACGTAGATAAAGTCTAAATCAATCTAACAAGTCACTGTAATTATCTTGGAATGTAAAAAGTCTCATATAAAGCAAGTCTATTGAAAAGAAGAGTTTTTATTTTTTATTTTATATTTTTTTTAAACAGAATCTGCTGATTATACATTGAACCTATCCCAAAATATATAAAATGAAAACTATATATATTTATGAATATGAAGCGGGATTCTCTCCCTGCTCACTTTAAGGCCAGGTTTTATATTCTGAGAGGGCCGGCCGGCCGCCCACCCACAAACAGAGATGAATTGAGAGTCTGTAGTGTGGAAAAAAAGGGATTTCAGACTTTGTGAATGAATAAACAGGAAGGTTTAAACATCTCCATTGGATCTCTGATAATTGATGGATTTTTGGGATATTTAAATTTGACTATTTTATAAAGACTTGAAAAACTGCTAAAACTCTCCAAGCCAGCTGTGGTTTCAATGTGGCTATTTTAAACTAAAATTTGAAAGTCACTTTGAATTTGGATGTATTTCAATGCAAGAACTTCCTAATATTATATTTTAAGTCTTTGTGTAATAAAGACATTTTAAAAGCTACTTTTTTTCCCACTTACTCGTGATTCTAGAAAGTCTTCATTTTGGAGCTGTGTACTTGTAAAGTGACTTTTTTGCTTTTTGCCAATCTTTGTTTTGTTTTTGTTTTTTTAGATATTTGGTGCTATTGAAGGGGAGGAGCCTATTGGATTTCCTGTAGGGGGCAGCGCACAGAGCCTCAATGTAAGTGCCCGCTGTGGGTTCAGATTAATGTTTCATGTCAATATTTTGTGATTTTATTCTGTACTTTGAAGAAGACTTTGTATAAACTGAAATCATACAAACTGTCCTTTTAGCACCTTTAACCTAGACATTTAGAATTCCTTAAATCAAGCATGTCAGACTAGTGGCCCACAATGGATATATTTGCGGCCCAACTGCCCTGGGGCCTCTTTGTGTTGTGGCTGCAAATATATTTTCTGTCTGATTCCGGTTTTCTCACTCATGGCCGATCGCATGCTCCTGCAGGCCAGCCACCCCACCCCCCCTTTACTCCTGGTCGCAGTCTGGCCTGCTTGAGCATAGAACAGGGGGAAGAACTGGAGTATGTGCGGCTCACCTTAAGGTAGGGGAAGAGGGTTTTGGGGGGCCTTCCTGTGTAGTGTGTTAAATTGGGGAGGGTGCTTTGCATTAATTTGAGGGAGAGAGCAATGTATTAAATTGGGGGAGGCAGTGGGCAGTATATACATTTTTAGGGAGGGGGCACTGTATTGAGTTGAGGTAGGAAGGGGGCAGTGTATTAAATGGGGAGGGGGCAGTGCATTAAATTGGGGGAGGGAGGAGGGGCAGTATATTCAGTTAGATTAGTGGGCAGTGTACTGGATTTGTGGAAAAATAAAGATAATTTAGGCGCTCACTATAGTGATGGAAAAAATAGGGAGTGGGCAGCAGTAACCACACAAGGATTCCCTACCTTGTGACAAAGCAAATAGTGAACAAAGAAAAAAGAGGAAACCGCGCCCTTATTGTGATACGTAAATACGTACTCAAGTCCTTATGGTCATATACTTGCAATGATGTACCTCAAAAAAGAAAAAAAGAGATATACAAATAATAGTGTAGCACTGTTAATATTCCATAAGTGAGCAAGAGGTAGATAGATGTACACTCACATGTGACAGAGCTAGAAACAGAGCTCTACTGTTCATGCGCATAGACGGAATAATCCCCGTCTTAGGATAAATGTAAAGTGGTCCACGTCTTGAAGGTCTCAAATAAAGAACATACAGATAGACAGGGGAATCCACATAGTGTAGTATGTATTAAAATCACTTAGGATAATGAATAAAATGAGAAACACTCTATGAGAAAGTCCATAAAAAATCCACTTTACGCATTTCACCTGTAGAGGCTTCTTCAGAAGTGTGGAAGCCTCTACAGGTGAAACGCGTAAAGTGGATTTTTTATGGACTTTCTCATAGTGTTTCTCATTTGTTTTTATGTACAATAAACAGTTATTATTTTATATATTTTTATCACTCTGAGACATCCATAACTATATATTTTTTTCCTGGTTGCCATTTTATTCCTTGGTGGGGATTATACCACCTATACGCTTTAAACTAGAGCGAGGCACGCTCTAGTAAATGTGAGTACGATACTTTACATTTTATTCATTATCCTAAGTGATTTTAATACATACTACACTATGTGGATTCCCCTGTCTATCTGTATGTTCCTTATTTGAGACCTTCAAGACGTGGACCACTTTACATTTATCCTAAGACGGGGATTATTCAGTCTATGCGCATGAACAGTAGAGCTCTGTTTCTAGCTCTGTCACATGTGAGTGTACATCTATCTACCTCTTGCTCACTTATGGAATATTAACAGTGCTACACTATTATTTGTATATCTCTTTTTTTCTTTTTTGAGGTACATCATTGCAAGTATATGACCATAAGGACTTGAGTACGTATTTACGTATCACAATAAGGGCGCGGTTTCCTCTTTTTTCTTTGTTCACTGGATTTGTGGGCAGTGTATGAGAATGGGGGGCGGGGCAGTGTATTAGATTGGGTCTGCGTGGAGGCACTGAACATTCCCCATGGAGATGCTGATTGGCCGTGCAGCTTTTTGCCACACATGCACAACAGTCATGGGAAAGCATTGGATTGGTTGAGATCATCAAGTTGATCTCAGCCAAAGTGAAGAACACACTCATAGGACTTCAAAATCAACAAGAGCTTTTCATAATATGTCAAGATAGTTGGACTGAAACATTGGTTATATGCAAATACATATCTATTTAAAATAAATTCACTCTTTTGTTTACTTTGAAGCCCTACGAACGTGAGGACGTCCAGTGTCAGGCAACTTTTTTTTACTGTACGTTTCTATGAAAACTGAGGTTTTTTATTTTTTCTGCGGCTCACATAAATGTAAAATTTGTTTATTTGGCCCATGTTGTCCTTTGAGTTTGACATACTTGACCTAAATAAATTTGCACTTCTTTTATTCATCTTATTGTATCGTTAATAAATGGGGATTTATTTTAATTTTGTTATTGTATTACTGGAGTATAATAAGCCTTTTGCACAGCTGAATTGACACACAGTGAACCTATATCAGTTTGGAGGCACGGAAAGGTTTAACCAAGAATTAGTGTAACCAAATCCTATTTGCCTGTACAAATATTTTGGATGAATGAGGAACAAGAAACTTCTTTATGTAACATCTCAGGCTAAGGGGATTGTTTTTACTGCTTGGGAATTCTCTGTAGTTTTTTTTTTTTTTTTTACCAGTCCTCTTAGTAGTTGAACTTAAAAATAGAACTTGCACATTAACCACTGCATTGAGCTGTGATAAAACAGTAAATGGAGCGGTTATAGTGCTTAGAGCGTGCTTTCCTGCAGCTTTGTCAGGTGTTTGCAAGGAGAAGAGCACTTACAACTTCCACCATGATGAAGAAAATAGTGCCGGAGTTTTTGGAATATCCCCCTGCTGATGCAAAGCTTGGTCTAGGCATAATCTAACACAAGCCAAAGCGGCAGTATGTAATTTATTCTGCTCATAAAATTTATATCTCAGGGGCCTCTTGGAAAGACAACTTAGTAGCAGGTTCCACCAGAGATGATCAAAGTTTGATTTTAGCTGTTATGGCCCTGGACCCTTCCTACTGCAAGTTATTGAGAATTATGTAGGGCTACTTTTTAACCCATTCCCTTCCAGGGGAGATTGCCAGCAATAAAGGGAATTACAGTGCTTGGTGGGAACTTATGCATAGCGTACCTGTTTGTTTTTAAAATTCTAGCTAAATTGAGCAAAACTAAAAACATTGCATTGATTCCCCTTTCTCAGCTGGAGTCCACAGTAATGCCTTACCTTCAAGTCCTGTCTCAGTTTCGGGAAGGTGTCCGACAAATTTCCAGAGAGAACAAAGGTGACAAAAAAAAAACGAGAATTCTACATCTGACACTGTATGTACATTGTTTTGCATAGCCTGTCTATGAATTTTTAGCACAGTTTGCAAAAACAAATGTTATTTATTTCATTACTACTTCAGGCAGTAGTGGTTATGGTGTAATGGCAATTATTGAGTTCGTACCCAGATTAACCTGTTAATACCCACATGTCCATAACCATGGTACAAGGAGTCTTGAGTGCAGTTTTCCAATTTTTAAGCATTTTTTTTTTTTTAAACTGTCTGACTGAACCAGGGCTCTTCCAGCACTCATAGCCTGCCCCTGCCCCGTCTACATCTGAGATAAAGCATCCATTTCACATCTAACCTCTCATGGCCATGATACACTGCAAGGGCTTGGCATAGCGTTTATCTGTTTTTGCTGTGAAATTTAGATGGTTAGTTAGATGGAGTGCTTGTCTTATTTGTTTGATTATTTTTTTTTATAATCTTATTTAACTTAATTGTACAACTCTGCTGAAATTTTAGATTGGTGAATAAAAACAATTTTTAGGATTGATTGATATATGCGGATCCCCTTTAGCTCGCACATGTAACTGGTCTTTTACTGTCTCTTTAAAGCATGCCATTACTAACATAATCACATTTCCTTGTTAGTTTTTGGAGTATTGCAGCTCTGCGACGCTCTTCGGGACGACATTCTTCCAGATCTCGGCGTGCGTCTGGAAGATCATGAAGGTAACCTGCAGACATTTCTATTATCAATCTATATGGGTGTCGCAGGAGGTGGGGCTATATATATAAAGATGTTAAATTGTCCAGGAGCTTTGCTGATGCATTTTATGGCATTTTATTTATTCATCCAGTGCCAGGAAACCATTGTACTTCTTAAATTATTTCTGTTCCTTGACCAGACAAGCTCTCTGGATTGTTGATTTCTTTAGCTTTTAAGGAAACCGCAAAAAATGCTGTTATCTCTGTATAGATTCCAATGAAAATATTCCTGTTCCAAATTAAACAAAGGGGAGAGATGGGGATTGTGTACAATCATTGTTCTAGATAGTACATTGCACAGACATGATTATCGCCTTCATTCACTTGTACATGACAGATACAATCTGTATCCTTCCTACTGACCTGGCCAGAGCACAGATATATTAGAGGGTTTGCAAAATCTGCAGTGAGAATGAAAATGATAATATCTTAGTAATTTCAGAGAGATGTCAGACTGTGGTATCTGTCACATAGGATCCTGTCCGACACTTGGGGCCAAAATCGAACACTCTGGTATTGTTCTCGTAAATAGTACATCCTGCTACAATTTCCTTGTGTACTGAAAAGATTACAATACATGCTAAACATACTGTTCAAATGTGGAATTGTCTGAATAGAGTGATTCAGGCATTGTTGTTAAATTTGCTAATTATGTGCATGTTTGGGAAAGTAATATTAAACCATATAAAATGTGAGCAGACAGCTTCGTTCCATACTGATATTTAAAATGGAGCAGTTAAAGGGGCATGTTGGGAATACAAATGTGTATTCCTAATGTTATATTGCTATAGTCTGTGTTTAGGTAATAGAGCCCTTGCTGTCACGGTAACAAAGGTATTTTACTTACCCTTTGTACAGAAACTCCACTTCTTTGGTTGCGCTCATCGAGATCGATGATCTCAGTCAATCCAATGCTTTGGAAAAGCTGCACCAATCAGATGGTCTCTCTGAGATAGTCTGATAGAAATATTGGAGTTTTACTTCTCTATTTAGTGGATGCGTTCCTGCAGAACATCAATGTTTTCAGCTGCAGAATTAAAACGGGAGAGACATGGCACCCAGACCTCTTCAGTGGTCTGCTTACCTGTAGAGTTCCTTTAAATGTGAGGTTTTAAATATTTGTTTGTGTTTTTTTTTTTTAATTTTAGTTGCTTTGTATATTTTCATTTGCATCGCATGCGTTGCTGTCGTGGCACAATGAAAGGATGCTGTAAAAACTGATTTAACCCCTGCACTGCCATATGTCCTGGTGAATAGTCATGACATTACAGAATTAATACTTCTACAACATTTCTCAGTATTCCCAAGATCATCATGGGATTGTAATGGTGCCCAGCACACACTAGTGCTGTGGATTTTAGGGGTGTATTTTTTCCCTATTTTGTTGCATTCCTCACACCAGTAAGCACTGTAGTAGGGTTTGCTGGACTGAAACAGTGAGAAACTTTACATTGCTGTAGTGGTAGCCTGACCGTGTCTTGATTTGAACACTAGTATAACTTTGGGCTGTTCTCCCTGAGATACGTGATATGCTTTAGTGGAAAGGAATGTCCGGCTGTCAGATACTGGCAATGGGTGAGTGCTTGGAAAGTCAGAACAGCCCTGTGGGGTTTCAAGGTATTTCAGATGTTCAGGAGGATCTTTGTACATGTGCAGGGGATTATCTTACAGAGTCTGGTGGCCTCCACATGCCATTGCTTATTTTATTCCATTCATTATCATTACAGGCCTCCCAACAGTGGTTAAACTGGTGGACAAGGAGACTTTAATGAAAGAAAAGGAAGAAAAGAAAAAGGTAAAATAATGCATCATCACGCCTTCTACACGTTTATCATCTGTAATGGAATGTATCTATTTATCTATCTGGGACTGGATTCAGGGGAGCTTTACATTTTTAAGGGGGGCACCACAATACAATCTGTGTGTGTGTATGTATATGTGTGTATGTATATATATGTGTGTATATATATATATATATATATATATATATATAATTTTATTTATTTATTTAAAATCTGGCACTCTACCTTAACATAGTAATCCGGAAGGACCAAGGTGCTGCACAGTGTGGATGTATAAAATTGTAGATTATGCTAGCTTTAGTGTACCTATAATCTTAATTTAATTAATGACAAGAGGCGAGTATTTGCTTAAGTCTCTCTTTACTAGAACTCCACAGCAGTACAGAAAAACAACCAATCAGAAAAAAAAAAAGTTAGTTACTATAAAACTCCCCTTCCCATGCATCATTTCCTCTTGCTGCGACAAGACAGAAAAAAAAAAAAAAATACAGAAAATATAATGGGGAAGAAACGAAGTCCTAGATATTATGAAAACGACCACGTCCACCATCCGAGAAGAACTGTCGAACCAGATAGTGTTGATGGACTGTAAACTGAAACGAAAGAAAACAGAATCGAACAGGTTGGTTAGCCAATGAAATGTACTTTGAACAAGCATGTAGGTACCCAATGTAATAACCGAAAATCTTACCGTAACCTGCATAGATCCCAACCCTACTTATGAAAAAACAGACATGAGAACAAGTGACAGGTAGCAGAGACAACAAGCAGAGTTGCATACATACCTGATGGACTCAAACTAATAAAATTAAACAAGGGAGAGATAAGAACGGGTGGGAAATACTCACCTCCTGTCATTAATAAAATTAAGATTATAGGTATACTAAAGCTAGCATAATCTACAATTTTATAACATGACAGGAGGCTTCGTATTTGCTGTTTTAACACTCAGTCAACAAATCCAACGCTGTTTGTTTCACTGGTACCTATTCCTGGAGATATCAGAGGATTCCTAAATGAACGTCCCACTGCGATAAATGACCGTAGCCGGATCGATGAAGATGCCAGCTGACGAAGCATCCTAATTACGGAAAAAACACCATCCGCTGATAGATCCATTGTACGTAGGATTGCGACCTGTTTCCTAGTAACCGGTCTGTGAGCTGCCAGCTGACCCATTAGCCATTTCCTGTAGTTGTAAAATGTCGAAGGTCATTTGCGGACCTAGGGCCGTGAGACGAAATTGGCACCATGTCTCGACTCTTGATGCGTAAGGTGGTTCCTCCGATCTTGCCAGGGCCATCTGGTGATGTGTCCTTGCAGGTGGATCTCCAATTCCAAGAAACGCTCCCAAGTCCACCACCAATTCCGTAATATAACCGAGTAGGATCTTCCGTTCCCTCATGGTCTACCCGGTGAAATGTCTCATCCGATAATAAGTTTATTATGCCGTCAAGTGTGTGGTCAAACTAGCTGTATCCTAAGAGATTCCAATATTCCAAATGGACTGTGTAATCCTCGGTTGCGGTAGAGAAAGGACTCCAAAAGAACGTCCAATCAGGGTCCCAAACTGAACTTGTGTGTTTGACTATTCTGGGAATAGTGAGTCCCGGAAATATTCAAAGGGATGGGAAACGTAAACCAGAGTTGAGATCTCCATCCAGATATGTCATCGCCTGAGAGCGATAAGATATACGGATCCAATGGTGATTAGGACCAGTATAACAACGAAGAGTCCTCACGTGTTGTAGTGAGAGAATGAAATAATCCGATTATCCGTAGTACGATCCTGTTCCATACCCGACCTGTCAAAACCCGCGCAGGGTTTTCTGGTCTACATGCCCCCTACAAGATAGGGGTAAAATATGGTGAGACCCCTAGGTCCCCGTACCTCTGACTGTTCTGGCACTTATCTCCCAGAGTAGGCCCTAAGTCAAGGGACCCAGAAATGTGAGTTTGATAACCAAAGTCTCCCTATAGAGGGATACCTCCCTTCTTAGCTTGGAATCCCGTGAACACATAGCGTTCTCCAATACGCAGGCAAGGCGTAAATTCGTTTCGCTCACAACAGATGACTCCAGAGAGCAGATATAATGGAAAAACAAGGGTCTAGCTTCAACTATTCGAATCATGTGTTGTCCCGTTAAGAATGTCGGCAGCCCTAACTGGGTCTGCTACACATCCAGAGCCGTACTCCAGCGGTAGGTTGCTACCCGACTTTGACGTCCGTGTATGTGTCGGGGCACACCGGGAATCTCCATAGAGTCTCGTAGGTACCCTTGATGGTAGTTGAAACAAATGGGTTAGCGAGAACCCAAACCAACCCGTAGGGGGTTATAGAGCCCTCCATCTCCGAGCCATGTTCTCCAGATATGTGTTCAGAGGGGTAAAGGCAATCCTGTCATCTTATCCCAAGGTTGTAACAAGACCGGGGTTTCCGGTCTTTCCATGTGTACGGTGTGCCTGCAGAATGCAACTGCCTGTCTTATATAGTGCAGAGTATACCAAAACCCGCACTCTTGTAAAATCTGAGGTTCATCCAATAACCGTACCGTCCCCAGGAGTGTGTGTAAATAAGCGGGAGTCTCCCCATTATGCCTCTGAGTATTACTCTCGTTTGGTACAGTGGTCCGGATCCAGTAGATTCATTACAGGAGGTGTAATGGAGGGATCCTGTCTAAATATATCTATCCTGTATGATCAGGCTGCCCTCTATAATGAAATCGGTAGCATGGTCGTTAGATCTAATTGAATGCAGGAGGGACGCCGCTCTATGCAGTCCTCGTTGTCCTGTACAGGTACAAGCCTGTGAGAAGAACAAATGGACGGCACCGTAGTGCATTGAGTGTATAAGAGAGCTGCGCTCTCTAATAGTGTGACCGAACTCCGTGTCAGCGTCCGGCTGATAGTCTGAGCGGGCCGCACCCGTTAATAACCAAACAATCCACCTCTGGTTTGTCACTCAAAACAAGTCCTCTGTATCCAGCTCAGTATCGGGCTGAAGTTTAGGGAGGGCCGCGCCCTCTAATAATATATCAGTGTCCGGTTCCGTATATTGGAGGGGTTCGCTCTCTGTTCGTGAAAATAAAATATTATTCACGGATCGAGGTGATGGAGGGTTGCACCCTCTTGTCATCCAAATTAGAGTTCCCTAGAGACTCAGGGTGACCAACTGTAGGGGTACACTATTTACTAATAACAGCATAAGACTGAGATCCTGAGGTGGGTCTCTCTCTGACCACGAGACCTCTTCCGGAATCGTTCACTTGAGATGGAATCGACTGGTAATAAACCAGACCGATGGCAGATGGAAAAGTATATAACTTCGGGCCGTGTCCATCCTTAAAAACCGAAAGGGATGGTGCGAAAGTGCCACCTTCGGAAACAATGATGGAAACTACCAACTGACCACCCGGATCCCGTGCGCACGAGCGCGGGGTCCTGGAGGACCGTCGGTAGCCTGAGGAAAGCTGGAGACGTTCTCAGCAATCCATGAGAGCCTGGGAGGTCGGAGGAGGTCAAGTCAGGCCTCTCGACAACCCGAGCGATAGAACAATTGGAAGGTTCGACAACCAAGAAATGACAATTAACGTGGATAACGGTAAATACGTACCTCGGAGAGAGGGTAAATTGCAGATAGGAACAGCAAGTCAAGTAGACCCAACTGAAAGGGTCAGGAGCTAAACAGGACTTAGGACCAACTACCAATACCTAAGATGTATACCGTAAAGGCAGCTAAACGGTTAGTTGCGAAAGGTAAGGAAACCGGTTCCCCTGTTGGCGTCCGAGCACTGGTCCCTGCATGTGCGAAATTTTCCTTGGAGATGTTACGCTGCTGAACTGGCGTAAACCGTGGTTGCGTGTCCGGGAATCTTCATAAAATCTTTGTCGCTTAGGCATGAGGTTTAGGGCCTTCACCCTTCCAATCATACTTAGGTGCTCGTATACTGGTGTCCTCTTGGATGGTATGGCAGCAGAGCTTACCTGGACACCTATCACCATGTCAATAGTGGGTGTTGAGCACTCCTCAGTGTTATTCCCCAAGACCTACGGCCAAAAGGGGTTCAGGCACAGACAGAGCAGGCCCGTCAGAAGGGCAAATACATAGCAGACCAATCAATGGGGCACAGACGTAGCAGACCAATCAATGGGGCACAGACGTAGCAGACCAATCAATGGGGCACAGACGTAGCAGGCCAATCAATGGGGCACAGACGTAGCAGGCCAATCAATGGGGCACAGACGTAGCAGGCCAATCAATGGGGCACAGACGTAGCAGGCCAATCAATGGGGCACAGACGTAGCAGACCAATCAATGGGGCACAGACGTAGCAGCCAATCAATGGGGCACAGACGTAGCAGGCCAATCAATGGGGCACAGACGTAGCAGGCCAATCAATGGGGCACAGACGTAGCAGGCCAATCAATGGGGCACAGACGTAGCAGGCCAATCAATGGGGCACAGACGTAGCAGGCCAATCAATGGGGCACAGACGTAGCAGGCCAATCAATGGGGCACAGACAGAGCAGGCCAATCAAAGGGGCACAGACAGAGCAGGCCAATCCTGGGTTGTGTCTGAACGAGTAAGAAAGGACCCCTGCGCTCGGGCAGGGTCCCCCCAAACATCCGTAAATCTTCAGGGTACCCTGTGACATAGGGCCCCTAGACGCCAACCCTTTTGACAGTGCAATTTTGGGTCAATAAACCTGAACTGGGACTAGCATTCCCTAAATGCCCAGCAGGCAGAATAGTGGTATTCCAGCTGTAGCGGATACAGGCTGAAGATGTTCCAGTGATTATAGTGTCCATATAATCAAGACATACAGCATGATTAATTTATAACTGTGAATGGATTATGCACATGAAGCTGCAGACCTGTTTGAGATTTCTTCATCAATATATGTCTCATCAGTATGCCATCTGAATAGAATTAGAGTCAGCATAGACTGGTCTCTCATATCAGTTTGAGCCAGAGCCAGGTCTGCTTATTTTTTTTATATTTGCCCTGGATAGAAATTATCTTACTAGAGTAGTCTGGTCTCTGTCTCTATGGATGGACCAGGTACATATATACTGAAGCATAGGGGCTGGAACCTGACCCTAATTGTGCAATATAAAAGCTTCACGCGTCCTTTGTATAATATAAAATCCAACAACAACAAAAATATATCAGCACACCTGATCCACGTGTGTAATTACACAGCAGATTGGATTCTTGCTGTACAGGGGATTTGAACTCATGGAGGAAGATTCCCAGAGCAAGTCGGTAACCACTGAGCTACCATAAGTAACCTACAATTGTGTGCTTACTCTTGACCTAATAGGAGGCAGATAATGCCTCCCATTAGGTCAAGGATAATGAGAAGAGAGTAAGGAGAAAAACCCTATCAAAGAAATTGAGCTGCATGACTTCTGGCTCTGTATGCGCAATGTTACAGAGCCAGACCCCAGTGGTAAAGAAAACTCTATGTCCGACCACCGTGGGAGGAGGAGGCGCACCCTCCTCTAGCTGGTCGGATGCACACAGTCCTTGGAAGTAGCCGCGCGGCGAGATGACCACGTATGTGAGCAGTCCGGCCGCCGGGTACTCGTGCCCGACCGCGAGATACCCCGGGCGCCGGCAGGTTCACCCTGGAGCTCGAGGGATCAGAGGAGTAGCCAAAAGGCTAGTCTCCTGAAACCCCGAGCAAAGCGCCCGTAGCCCGCGTGGAGGGTAACCGCGGGGCACTAGAGAGTAGGGTGGGGGGGGGAAGGGTGAAAACAAAGGGGGTAGCTGAAGGGTATCCCCAGTAAGCCCCCCATTAAAACCACCACATTTAGAGGGGACTTCCCCAAAGAAACAGAGGAAGCCCAAAGACAGCAAAAGGGCAGAAACCCCAAACCAAATAACAAAAAAACTAACTAAACATTATATATATATATATATATATATATATATATATATATATATATATATATATATATATATATATATATATATATATATATATATATATATATCTCATAAAATAAATATATAGATATAAAATGAAAATTAAATATAATATACAAGAAGTGTGTGTGTGTGTGTATATATATATATATATATATATATATATATATATATAATATGAAAATTAAATAATATAATATATATATATATATATATATATATATATATATAATATGATAACTAGAATAGTAAATATAAATCATAAATAAATCATAATAAAACCCAAAGCCACCCACTATAAGCAGGAGGCAATGGTACTCTGACCTGTACTGACAGCAAAGAAAGAGGAAATGATGCATGGGGAGGGGAGTTTTATAGTACCTAACTTTTTTTTTTCTGATTGGTTGTTTTTCTGTGCTGCTGTGGAGTTCTAGTAAAGAGAGACTTAAGCAAATACGAAGCCTCCTGTCATGTTATACAATTAATACATTTTTATCAATAATAAAGACCCACGGGTCAAAATGTTGATCTCTTGACCACAACACGAATTTGATTCAACAAAATCCATTGAGTTCTCTTATTTATTTAATATATATATATATATATGTAAAGGACGGCTTGCACTCACGGTCTTTTTAAGATAAAAAATATTCCTTATTAGAAGTTATTCCATAAAATCATCGATGTTTCAACCCTCGTTCGGGGCATTCCTCAGGATTAATAATCAATGTGTGTGTGTGTTAAGGAATATTAAGATACCTTTTTCTTTGTTTTAGAATGGCCATTTCCTGTGATCACGATTAGCTTAAACAGACATACCCCACTAGGTGCAGCCTTTGGCCCTGTTCCAAGACGAATTCCCTGCTCAGTGCTTATAATTCTACAAGACTTGCATTTGTGCCTGACCAAATGTCACTGGGGCCCCATAACATGTGCAGTCATCTGTGTGAAATCTGAGCTTACACACATTAGGCTATCTCAAGCACTTTGTTGATTGACTTTTTTTTTTTACTCAAGTCCTATCCTCTCTACTTGATCTACTCTCTCAATGCCACACTACCAACTCTGCCTGATATTCGTTTTGGCTGCAATTTAATTCACATTCATATGGATGGAGTTACTACATATATATATATAATATGTATGTATGTATATTATTTTATTATTTATATAGTGCCATCAGATTTCGTAGCGCTGTACAATGGGTGGACTAACAGACATGTAATTGTAACTAGACAACTGGACGTACAGGAACAGAGAGGTGGAGGGCCCTGCTCAATGAGCTTACATTCTAGAGGGAATGTGTATGTATGTGTGTGTGTATATATATATATATATATATATATATATATATCTATCCATACACACACACACATATATATTTATATATCTCCATTCATATGAATATGTGAATTAAATTGCAGCCCAAACTAATATTAGGAAGAGTTGGTAGTGTGGTGTTGAGAGAGTGGGACAAATAAAGAGAGTAGGACTTGAGTCCTTTAATATATAAATAGCACAAACCAAGCCTCAGTAGCAAGCCATGAACCAACCTCCTGCTGATGAGTTGCATTAACAACAAAACGGCTGTCCATGAGTGGTTCACTGGCTTTGCATCTTTTCCCGAGTTGTGTTTCTAAGCTGTTAAATACAGCAAAAATAAGCTCCAAGGAATCCATGTTTAAAATGAAATAATGAGGCAAAAAGGTTATTCTTTGTTGAGCTAATTTGCATTTGCCTGCCCAGAATCCTTTGTGGTAGTATCATCACTGCAAATTTGAGATTTCTGTGTAAATCTTATAACTTGACTGGTAGGTGCAGATCTGTGTTTAACCATGTATTGACTATATATTTATAGTGAGTGTGTGTGTGTGTATGTATATATATTATAAAAAATACAGAATCCAGCGCACTCGCTTATTCACTAAACAATGATTTCAAGTTTTATTTAAAACCACCTCACCTAGGCAAAAAATGATGGGGGTTTAGTTACATTATCCACTTACTTGGGAAATGCTTTTCTACTTAAGTGGATTACTTCCCAAGTAAGTGGATTAATCTCATTAGAGCTAGCATTAGGCTGTTACTACGATAAGACCTGCCGAATATGGGGTACCTTGACGTAGTGGCATGCTTATGCAATGTATGATCATATAATGTAACTAAACCCCCATCATAGGTGAGGTGGTTTTAAATAAACATTTTACAATCTCTAAGATTTGAAATCATTGTTTAGTGAATAAGCGAGTGCGCTGGATTCTGTATTTTGTATATTTTAGCCCCAGCAGCACCCTATAATGTATGCATGTTCAGGTGAGTGCAGCCCTCTTGGGGGGGGGGTGTGTGTGTGTGTGTGTGTGTGTGTGGGGGAGGGAGGTGTGTGTGTGTGTATATATATATATTCTTTTTAACAAATGCTTCTTCTGTGCCTGAAAATATACACAATTAATCTGTAAATTGTCGTTGATAAAGCCTAAACACACCCTACGGTTTGCATACCTCTCTGTGTCTGTGGAGTTGTGCAGTTAATTGTCTTTAGTATTTCTGTAACGTAAGTAAATATCTGCCGCTTTCTTGTAATTCTGTTTGGTATTTTTAGGTAGAGGAAGAGAAAAGAAAGAAAAAAGAAGCCGCCGCAAAGAAGAAACAGGAACAGGAGGTAATAATATTCAGATAAATTCTAATTTTTTACTCATATTTTCAAAACTTCAGTGTTTTAATTAACAGCAAGACAGAATGTTTGGTATACACTTTGCAAGGTATCGAACAATGTTTAGGTCAGGGGACCTGTTGGCTGTCACCCAGAGCTGGGCGGTGTGCAAAAGACCTATGCTGTTGGCACAGAAGAGTTATTTACCACCACCTATTTCTGGTTTGACTGTACCCTAGATAAGACACTCTGCCTATTTTAGATATGGAATGACCTTTTCTGGGCTGTGCATTGTATTTTATGGGTAGGTACACCGCTAATGAACCAATATGGGTATGGCTGGCATGCTGACTAAACATTGCGGGGCATTTACTACACTATTATTACCCCAGTCTATTAAATCACTCTATAGGAGTATTTCACAACCAGTAACTTAAAGACTTTCTGTTTGCATACTGGTAGCCATTTTGATTTCACTCATTCTCTATTAGCATTGTATTAAGACCAGGAACAGATGGATGTGAACATGCTATTCAATACTAAAAAAATGATTTGTTATTTGGGAATAAATGGTAGCTGCTTGCCTCTTGCACCATGTCTTATACCCATTCTATTCATACAGGCCGCAAAACTTGCAAAGATGAAGATCTGCGCGAGTGAGATGTTTAAAGCTGAAACTGACAAATACTCCAAATTTGATGAAACTGTAAGTGGCCAATGTGTCTGTCTGTGATTCTCTAACTCGGCATGTATGTGTCTTGCACTATTCCAGATCAGGCAAACTAAAACAGTCACAAGATAATGGATTATTAATATTACTATTTACAAAGCTATAAACTACATATAGTTTTAGCACTATTTTATAGCTTTATACTATTAAATAGTGCAATTCTGGTATCAAAGTGAATGAATAAAAACTTGCATTTAAAAGAGCCTTTTAAAATAATAAGGGCTCCAAATGTGTGGATTTCTGTGCCCTTGAGGTGGCAGCAAAACCTTCTTTAATGATGGTGTAATTAAGCATTTCCAGAAGTTTATATCAAATGAAATACAAAAAAGGACAGACAAACGGTGCAATATTGTTTGGGTTAAAAACACTTAAAACAAATCGCCCCTAGTTAGGAGCCCATAATGACTGACCCCAAGCTTTCAGACTTATTGTCAAATATGGGGTGACAATGCCCTCTTTGGAACCCAGAGTGCATTTAAATATAGACAGAGAAATAGAAATACAGCCTAGGAACACTCTAGACAGGGGGGTAACTCTCTGCTGTCTCATTTAGGAGAACTTTTGGGGGGGTTAGTCCTGGTGCCCACGAAGGCACATGGGGAATTTGTAGCTTTCAGTCCTAGGACGGTACTATTTTAGTCTTCCTCTCATCCATTCTCCTTATATGATATTATGTTCTCTATTTATTGGTATTTCTAACATTCTATCAGGAACTTTAGGGACCATTAGACTATTTGGTTGGTACCTCTCTGTATCTTTACTGTTATTTTACGTACGCTACCTAGTACCATCGAGCTTTTTTACAGCTGCTAGAATTTTTCGCTTGATAACTGTGTACTCAGTTGGTAACATCGATGCTCACAGTACAGTTAGCAATATTGTTATTTTTGTAGCAGTACTAGATATTGCAGTACATCCATCTGCAATTGCTTTACACTAGCTTTGCTGTGTACGGCTAGGATCATTACTGCTTTCTTTAGATCTGATACTGATATTAGCAACCCAGCATCGGACACACGTTAATTAACTCTCCTTTTCGTTTTTCCACTCTGCACAGACGTGTGCAGTTTGCCATTTGTGCTATCTGAGACATCAGAATATCTCCTTATTAAGGTTATATCATTTTGATTTTATTAGTTCACTAGTGTTCCATTTTTCGATCTCTCAGTATTTATATTCAATAAAGATATTTGTTATTTTCATTTTATTTATTTATTCAAATATGTACTTCTTTTGTACAGTTTGTATGTAGTGATAGTTTTTCCCTTTTTTCCATAGGCACTCTTTCCATCTCTCCTTCATATTCATTTAAATATAGTAACAACTATATCAATTAAAATCAATAATAAACACAGGAATCCTTCTTCCGAGATGCTTTTAGTCTGTCCATTAGACTTTCTCAATTGGTATCCTGTTTGGTTTGGGTCCCCACTCTTGCAGAGTATTGCGTTAATTGGGCCCCCCTAATCTATAGAAAATAACTAGCTAAACTATAGAGAATCATTTTACATTAATTAACTAGAGCCCTGGACATTTGCCAGTGTTTGAGAAGGAGCAGAAAAACACTATAAATATCTCCCCTGAATTGGTGACATTTGTAAGCTGTGTCACCAAACCTTTCCTAGTGATCCCTTATTAATTTGTTAAATGAGGAGAAGGAATAGAAATATTGTTTGATTTCTCCAATTCTCTATTTGTATTTTCTGTGCTGATTGTCAGGTGCTAAAGACTGAGCTTGTACTAATGATTGACAGGGAACTAAGATGGAGGCACCCAGTTGCAGGGTAAAGACAGGTGGATTTCAAATATCATGTTTAGTTTTCACATCTCACAAATTACAGATTAATTTCTCATAATACCAAAATTTCAGGGAAGTAACAATTCTCTTTAACATAACATAAATTATCAATCACAACCAGTTCACATTCTGTAAAAATCATCCCCTGTGTTAAGCCTATTCTTAGCATTTGTCAAGCACAGATGGATTTCCTCCGTTATCTAAATAATGTATCAATATCTATGGTAAAGCAGTCCTGGACTTGATGGCATGTTGTTTCATACAAGGAAATCCTGTCTGTATTTTTGTCACATTCATGGATTATAAGACACAATAGCCATATTCTCGAACGCTGCTATTTACCAGTTCTCTGCAATTTCTGGTTTAGTTAATACACTATATAGTCTCAGAAATATTAACAAGGTTATAAACTAACTGTGAATTGTTGAAAATTGCAAAATGTCGGTGTGTAATAACTCAATTAGAGAATCTCAATAAAGTTGTTATGGGGGTAGGAGTGCCTGGACGCTGTCTTACTTTCAGAGATAAGACCGTTTTTTAATGGTTTTCCCCTGGTGTTAGACAGCTCTGACTCTAACAGTCAGAGTCTTCCTCAGAGACCAGGCATAAGCAGAGAGCATCTCATTGATCTTAAAGGTATAGGCAGGCCAAGAACATCTCGTTGATCTTAAAGGGATAGGCCAAGAACATCTCGTTGATCTTAAAGGGATAGGCCAAGAACATCTCGTTGATCTTAAAGGGATAGGCCGAGAACGTCTTGTTGATCTTAAAGGGATAGGCCGAGAACGTCTCGTTGATCTTAAAGGGATAGGCCGAGAACGTCTCGTTGATCTTAAAGGGATAGGCCGAGAACGTCTCGTTGATCTTAAAGGGATAGGCCGAGAACGTCTCGATCTTAAAGGGATAGGCCGAGAACGTCTCGTTGATCTTAAAGGGATAGGCCGAGAACGTCTCGTTGATCTTAAAGGGATAGGCCGAGAACGTCTCGTTGATCTTAAAGGGATAGGCCGAGAACGTCTCGTTGATCTTAAAGGGATAGGCCGAGAACGTCTCGTTGATCTTAGAGGGATGCTATAAAGGGATTCTCCCACTGCTCTTTATAATATTGTACATATTCTACTTGACACCTTTGTTTTCTCTTCTGCATTTCTAGGGTTTTCCCACACATGATACAGAAGGCAAGGAACTAAGCAAGGGTCAAGCCAAAAAACTCAGGAAACTTTACGAAACTCAAGAAAAGTTACACAAAGAATATTTGCAAATGGTTCAAAATGGAAATGCGGATTGAAAAAATGGAACCCTTCTTAATGCTCTTCATGATAGGGTGTCTTGTGAATTAGCAATCTTTTTGTAAGACGGTAACTGTATATACACTGACATCCTAGTCCCTGATGACGACCATATTTATGAAGTAATGTTAAGATATGTATTTACACAGACCCTGAGTGGCCTCACAGACTAGCTCCAATACTGTATGAATCGGGTGTCATATTTACAAAGGCCCAAAGCAAAGTCAGCTGTAACCACTTCGGAGCTATAGGAATCCTCAAGTTCTTTCAAGTTGCACCACTTGTTTTGAACTGTCAATGGCAAATAAATTGTTTAACAAATGTCTGTTTTCTTTTTCTCTTTTCATAGCGTTTAGTGTTTTGTAACAATATAGAGAAGTCTTCTTAAGAGGAATAGAACTCTTTGTGATATTATGTATGTATTTACAGCAGCGTTTTAGTGGCTCTTGGGAAAAATGGGCCGATGTCCAAGTCTGAACCTTTCTGCAACAGAAGTGGAGCAATCGCTATGGAAACCTTCTGATTCCTTGACGTTTAGAAGTTTGTCACACAGTTCCTACTTATACATAACCCAACTTGTGTGAGGTTCTTTAACTCGCAAAGTAGGGGAGGCTGGAAAGTAGATCCACCGCTTCTGGAAAAAAATCATTATTTTGAATCCTCAATGGGATTGTAGCACTTCAGTAACTGGCAGGCCACAACTGCTTTAAATGAGTTTTGTGCAGATAATTACAACTGGATAATTAAAAGAACTGTCACTTCCCAGAATCTTCAATATTATGTTTACTTATTCCCTACATGTAACAACTATTTGTGACGTATGAAAAATAAAATTAAATGTAGAAATCAAATCAATACTTTTGTCCTGCCCTTGAAATGGAAATAATTAAAATGGTTATAGGCAATGTTCAGTGTTTTATATTGTGCCCCTTTAATTTATAATACAACAAACACAATTTTTTTATTTTTTTTTAATGCATTTTTTTATTGAGGGTGTCAGACAAATATAAATGTAAAACATACATATGATATCAATGAGTAGGTTCATGTACAATTGAAATAGGCAATCTCTTTTCTGTAAAATCATAACTAAACTAAACATAAACCTGTCTGACAATAATTCGCACTATTTTTAACTACTAGCAAAACGTAAAAACAAAAGACTAAAAGTGATGGACTATTAGAGCGTTTCACAAAAATGGAATGTACTTTATCAGTCACGATGGGCCCATGAGTACCCGTGTGTGTATACTTTTTGAAATAAGTGAAGCCGGGATTTCTGGCGTTTTTCCCCATACCGTCATCTATTTCACATCCTGAAGTGGTCTTCAGTGATTGGAACCAATTAGCATTGCAGTTCAGATAGTGTCCTCATTGGGGACTGTAAAGTAGAAATGTGCCACCATCAACCACTTATTCCTGAGGAAGCTGACAACAATGTGTATGTAAGAACTGCTAAGCCAAAATAGTTTATAGGAATTGCTGCACTAAATCCAAATTGGTATGTATATATAATGTAACACTGCTATTTTTTTTTTTTTTTTTTTTAAATCACATCTTAAAATCTTGCAAATAGTAAAGTGGAATTCCATGCAATCCTTTGGGACTTATTCATTAAACATGCAATTGACAAGGAAATTGCAAATGGAAAAAATATACCACCTACTTTGTTCAGCTGAATTATTTTTCCCTGCCAATCTGTCCACAGTCCTCACTCACTTATTTATATAAACCCTTAATGGACAGTGAAGGATTTAATAATTTACCTGCAACTTTCACAGTAATAAGGCAGATTGATGGATCGTCAGCTCTGCCTTTCATATCACTCTAGTGTCTTGTCTGGCAATCCATTTTATTAAACTATAAATGTTCATACTGCATTAGAAAAATATTAGAGATTACAATGTTTCCAGTCGGTAATGTCATCACTATTCTCATGGGTATCTGATTTACCATGAAGACAAAATGTATTTAAATTGTCTGTCACGTTTATGATGGCTCATCTTCCAGCTGTGGGAGCCCTTCCTCTTATTTGGCCTTGGGACTGGTTTAACTTGTGGTTTTTATAGTTGATTTAGTCCTGCCAGGTCTTCTTTCTCAGCACCGCCCGCCATCTTACATTTTTAAGAGGGCAGCACTTGAAAATAATATCTTCTGCCCTTCCCTGGTGTCACTGTTAAGTCACGCATATGCCCACTATCAGGGCCGGACTGGGAAAAAAATTAGGCCCGGGTATTTTTCAATCAGAGCGGCCCCCTAAGAAGTGGGCAGGGCCAGAGAGGGTGTGTTTTGTCATCACTAATTACAAGCACGCCACCTCTCAAAATGAGCATGTTGGTTCAATGCGCAGAGCCCCGCTTTAATAACATGCTTGCGCTGTGTTTGCTTTTAAATTGTCTCTGGTGTCTCCACAAGTGGGATACCAGAGGACAAAAGGGCCAGGAAAGTGTATGGTGCATGTGTTTGGAGCCTGCTTGTGGGATTGCGTGTGTGTAGAGTGTGGTGTGGTATTGTGTAAATAGGTCAATTTCATTTGTGTTTGTGGTGTAATATGTGTGGCTAGGGGGCATAGTGTTATAGGGTATGTATCGAGTGTGTGTAGGGGTTGTAGAGAGGGTGTGTTTAGAGAATGTTGTATGTGTTTGCTGACAAGGAATGTAGTGTGTGTGTAGGAGATCTAGTGTGTAAAGGACCCAGAGTGCGTATAGGAGATTGTGTGTGTGTGTGTGTATAGAGGATTAAGAGTGCATATAGGGTAAGGGATCTAGCGTGTATCTGGAGCGTAATGTGTGTAGTGGTGCAGTGTGAGGGGTGCTGTAGTGTGTGTGTGTATATATATATATATTTGGACGTATTGTATGTGTGAGGGGCGCAGTGTGTGTGTATGTAAGAGGGGTGCTGTGTGTGAGGGTGTTTTTATCTGCCGTCACATTCTAGGTTTCTAATTTTCTTCAACTCACTGAGGGTTATTTTATATATATATATATATATATATATAGTGTGTGTGTGTGTGTGTGTGTGTCTGGGTACGCTGTCTGAGTCTGGGGGTGCTGTGTGTGTCTGGGTACGCTGTGTGAGTCTGGGGGTGCTGTGTGTGTGAATTTGTTTTTTATTTAAATTAAAATATATTTTTTAATAATTAAAAAAAAAGTTATATCCCCCCCTCCCTTCTTACCTTTAGCCTGGGAGAGGGGGGAGCCGTGTTGCCAGGGGGGGTGAACCTTGTTGCCATGTGGAGGTGCTGTGCTGCCTTCCCTGGTGGTCCTAGTGGTGAGAGTAAACTCTAACCTGCAGGCTAGAGTTCACTCTTGCGCGATCTGAGCCGGCGGAGCTGCTGGTTAGAGCTCCGCCAGTCCTCTCTTGCCTCCCTCCCTCACTCCTCAGCCTCTGGCCCAGGGAGGGAGATCTTTGATCTCCCCACCGGCCCATGGAGGCACACAGCAGGGGCTGGCAGTGGAGATTCTATGATCTCCCCTGCCGGCCTTGGCCCACGGCCATCGCGGCCCACCGGGCATTTGCCCGATGGCCAGTCCAGGCCTGCCCATTATACAGAGACGCTTCAACAGACCTCAGTTGACACTACCCTACTGGATACTTAAGTAACTACACCAACTCCAATGCACGGGGGTGGCCATATTGATTGGGGCTAGGGTCCCATTTGTCTATAAAGCACTTGAATCCAAAGACTCCGGATAATAATAATGGTCAAAGGACAGGTTGGACAAAACGTGTTCACACTGATCAACGTCTATTTGCCAAATAGAAGACAAGGTAAAACACTCAAAAAGTACCAGCGCTTAGTGGAGAAGTTCACCGAAGGCATCCTCGTTATGGGGGGTGATCTCAACATATCCTTAGACGCACACATGGAACCGACATCCACAGACCCCAGATACCAATCCACTGCCAGAAGGAGAATCACCTCACCTCTAGATGAAACGTGCCTTTTCGATATATGGCGAACCCCCCCCCCCCTGGACTGTGACTACTCTTTTTGTTCACACGCAATAAATTCATACTCCAGAATAGATATGATCTTCACCCAACATTATAACATTGCGTATAATCCCACCAATAATCCAACCCATAAATAATGTTACTCCTAATCCCACCCCTAATCCTAGAAATAACATTGCTCATAATCCAAACAATAATCCACCCATAATAGTCATTTTACTCTTAATCTCACCCATAATCCCAGCACTAATCAAACCCAAAACAGTAATCTGGACCCTAATCACACCCATAATCTAATCACTCACACTACAGATAATAACCCTGACCCTAATCCTACAAATAATAACATTGCTCATAATCCCAACAATAATCCAACCCATAATAGTCATTTTACTCCTAATCCCGCCTCTAATCAAACCCAAAACAGTAATCTGGACCTTAATCCCACCCATAATCTAACCACTCACACTACAGATAATAACCTTGACCCTAATCCTACAAATAATAACATTTGGTAAATCATATACTTTTTTTATTGGAAATGAAAAACTACATATAAATATTTGAAATAGTTCTATTTTGTTTAAAAAATTGACATAGTACTACTATTTCCTTAAATGGGATATCGAATTTGAGGGATTTGTGCTTCTTTACTTTATTTTTTCTTTAAGACCAAAACTTTCGGATTAATTTTATTTCCCGTGACCACAGGGTAAAGTGGGGGTGAGTTTCACTTACCACTAATAGTTTCTTATTGCATCCTCCATATTAACGTTCACAGTAGTTTTCTGCTTCTTGCGCTTGAGTTGCCCTAAGCTTTGTCAATGCTTGACTCTGGCACATGTTTATGGAGGTTCACAAAAATCACTCCATAGACCATGCAAGAATCTCACATTTGTTTTGTGACAGCTGTTTTGATTTGACAAAATGTAACAGTGTATTTCCTCCTTGAAAAATGCATGTTTATTAAAAGCAGACATAACTAAAAACCACAGTGACCAGGTGCAAAAATTGTCTAATTCCCCCTCTCCTGCAGCCTCTCCATGTGTCTCTCTCCACTCCTGTACCTGTTCACTGCGGTACCCATCTGACACAAGTGCACTCTCAGTGAACACTTTCTGACAGACCACATACAACAGCAGGCAGGAGGGAAACTGCACAACACAGCTCTTCCCCTCCAGCAGGTAAGCATGTGACTGTGCTCCCTGGTTGATGCTGTCGTGCAACGCCATTGAAGGTATTGCGACACCAAGCCTGGAGTGAAGGGCCAGGATGCTGCTGCGACCCCTGTGACAGTGTTAGTTATGCCCTTGACTATAGACAAATCAGTAATAACCTTTTTAACCGTTAATAATAATGTTAAATTCTGTTTAATAATTTAATTGTAGTTAGCTGAACTTCACCAGCGAAGACAAGGTAGAACATTTCCTGCAGAATGGACACCTTGTCATGGCATCCTGCATCTTCCCAGAAATCTACTCCCACCTCATCTACACCAACACAGCCAAGCAGAATTGGAAGAAGTGATTGGTGGAAATTGCGATATAATGCCACTGAGGATAATGCATCTGCTGCAATGAAATTCAAAGAATTGTTGAAAATATTGAAGAAAATGAAAAATGTATCTGTTATGCAAAATATCTAAAAGAAAAATTGGTCTCTAGAGAACACATAATTGAACTATACCGATATGGATTGAATTTCCAAAAATAAAGTAGTTTCCTTTTCAAATTTACAGGAAAGGTGAGTTGTTGAATTAATCATAGATATTTTTTTAACCAAAATGTTAAATTTAGTTTTTATAGGGGCAGAGCGTCAGTGCATTTCTATGGGTAGAATTAAGTGCGTGGAGATGCTCAACATAGGTGCTGCACACTGTGCCGCATTGGACTAGGAAGCAGCTCTAGTGGCCGTCTGAATAAATGCTACCTTTCTCGGAAAGTGCTTAGCCTACAGGGACAGGCTATATATACCAGAATCACTACATTAAACTATAGTAGTTCTGGTGACGATAGTGTCCCTTTAATACGACGTCTTTCTCTCACCGGTCAACTCTGAGTTACAGGGAGAGCAGGAGACACAAGTGAAGATGCACTTTGTTTGTCTTTCTCCCCCAAGCCCCTTTGTCTCTTTCTCCCCTTCCCCAGCTCTTCTTTCCCAGGCATCAGCCGAGATGTGTCTCATTAGCTCCCTCAGCCGCTCCATGTGCCTTATTAGACCTACAACCCTCCATGTGTCCCCATAGCCCCATGTGTCCTATTATTCCCCCCCAGCTCTCCCTGTACCTTGCTGTAGCGTGGCCTAGCACACAGACCGTGGTGTACCCGGTCTGACAGGAAGCAGTTCTATGCTCTCTGAGCACTTCCTTTCAAAATGGGAAGAGGAAGAGAAGCTCCTCTAACGCAGACTGCATGCTCGGCCACGCTACATTCTGTGACCGGCAGGAGGGGAGCATATCTCGCATCTCGATAGTGTACCGACCCACCATGAAATTTTACGGTATCCCGGTAGGCCAGTCCGGCCCTGGCTGCATCAATAGATGCATTTCACCTTGGCACAAGTGGATTCCTGGGTCTACTATAAGATGCCAATCCTAAGCCTCTTTGGTGTCGGCTCAAGGAACGTCCCCTCTTCACTTACCTCATCACTTATGCCGACTATGGGTTGAAGATCTCAGAAAACACACAGTGCAGCATGAGTCAGATATCGGGGTCATGCTGCAGAAACCTGTGCAACCTTGGCTAGGGGTTCACACTCTTGAAGCATAATACCTAAGCTTGTTTTGCCACTAAAGCCTTCGCCGGCTCGGCCTAACTTACACCTGAGTTACTCTCGCACATTAGGCTTACCGTAATCATAGTTTGTACCATCATCATATGATCATTTATGCAGTTTCATAACCTATCTATACTTACAACTTTAGAAGGCCAATCCCAGCAAAACTTTCTCAGATTTATCCGGTGACACAGCCACTTGATGTTTCAAGTTCTTTTAACTACTATATTTTTACACACAAATGGTGCATTACCCCTATATTGTTCGATCTGCATTTACTACTGATGATGTGTACTCTACTCTTACCAAACCTTGCTTCTGTAAAGCAAATATTTGCCTCCTGTCTTTAATAAAATTTTGATTATTTGGTCACGGACGCTAGAATAATCTAAGTTTATGGCAAGAGGCGGCTTCATATTTGCTTTACTTCCTTTACTGAACCCTCCCAGCAGCAAAGAGATGAATATCTTACATTGTGAAAATAATGCTTTTAAGAAAAAAAAATAATTATAGTTTTTATGCATATTTTTTTAAATCAATTGATTTCATATTTTTAGTGACTATAGGAAGACCGCATATAGAGCATTCACAATGTGGATATATGGTTATCTCGGCCCAAGGAAAAGAAGAGTAATACCATCTTGCGTAGTACGTTTCATAAGACAACATTTTCCATCACCAAAGTGTATATGGGTTATTTAAGTGCTACATCCGATCCAAATGCAGTTTATTTCTTTTTAAAATATTTAAATTTTACTGTATATGCATTTTTACATATTACATATATTTAGTATTTTAGATAATTTATGTATTTTATATACCTTGTTGCTTAATTATTATTGATCATTACTTATTGTTCCATTTTATTTTAGTTGAAAAAAAAAAATGTAAATAGTTTCTCCTTATGTATTTTTTGTAATGTAAACTCTTTTTTCCCCTTTCTGCATTTAATATTTGTCTCTAGAAGCTGAATCTTTATGTAAAAACAAAGACCAGAAGAATATCACTAAAAACCTTACTTTATTGTAACTTGTTTTTTTGATACAAACATTGAATTATTTATTGTAAATACATATTCAATAAATTATACACACACACAAATACATTTAGGAATAACTATATACCGAATAAATAGTGTAATACATATTTTTAAAAATAAATTATAAATATTCAATAAATTATATACACATTAAATGTTTGTATAAATATAAATATAAGTAAATAAAAAATAAATGTATTATACATGTGCAATAAAGTATCTACACAATAAATATTGGAATACATGTTTTAAATAAATCTAAAATTAAATTATACACATTCAATAAATTAGGTATATACAAAATATTCTAATAAGTATACATGTTTAAAATAATTTAAACATTAAATTATAATATATTCATTAGAGTAACTATATAAATAACATATTAAATTCAAGTTTATAAATAATTTTTAATGTTACATTTTAATAACATTTGAATTTTTAATGTTAAACAAGATATTTAAATATATATTTATGTATCCTGTATCTTTGGTTCAAACCTAGAAATATGTTTTGCCGCTAATTCTTTGATTTGGGGTCTTGGTATAGAATCAATATTAGCTGGAAGCAATTTATTTTGTGATTCCCATGAAGTTTCTAATTCTTCCATGGATAATTTCAAAACATCAGCCATCATTTGAAACAAATGATCTATAAATACCGGTTCATACATTTTCTTTGCATGCCAATTTTTAGGTTTTTTTGACAATGCGGGCCTATATCTAAGGGAACCTACTTCACCACTCCCTTTATGTGAACGAAATACTGCGGCTTGTTTCCGGTCAACATTAGCATTATGAGCTAATACAGCCAATTTGGTGCGTGCTATCATACCATCCATCGAGAAATGGACTCTTTTTGGTCGATACTTTAAAATCATACTATGGTAATCCTCAAGGTTACCAGTATGGCAGAAGTGATTTAAGTGATCTAAATCTTTTAATAATTTGGGATCTGTAACAAAGGAGCTGAATCTGGAATATACAGAGGTGTCTTTTCTTAGCCAACGTCGTGGTCTTTCTGTTTCTAAAATGGGTAAATGATCACAGCTTATTTCTCTTCCATCGTTTTCCCATGAATGCTCATTTATAATATGATGTAATATATTTTCCCATCTTTCTTTCAGGCGGCTTACATTACCCTTACATAATGAGCAAGATGCCCACATATGATTAATAATAGATGTTTTCCAGGGTGACAGCTCCTTGTACATTTGTTGCCGTGTTAATGAATTCAATTTGTTGGTCATGCTTTTGCAGAAATGCCACACATCAAATTGGTGAATTATAAATGGATAATTTTCTCTCATTATTTTTCTTATTCCAATATGGCGGTCAGTCACAAGTATGCCAATTTTCACTCCTTCGGCAAGTAATGTATCAACACTTCTTCTAAAAGCTTTTGACTCCATAGTCACAGATGATGTTGCCTCACTGACTTGTATTACATTGCATTCCACAATTTTTTGAGTTTTTTCTTCGATTAAAGTATATGTGCAATATTTTGCACAAGATCCAGGACTGTCACACTGTGCATCACCTGATAGACACACTGCAGTTCCTTTGAAATTATCCAGTGTTGCATCTCTATCTTTCTTATGATGTAAATCGATGATTGGAAATAAAAATTTATTCTGAAATCGGTAGTGTAAGCTTTCAGAAATAAAAGGAACTTTTAACATTTTAAAAAATTCAGAAACGTTAGGAAAATGAGACCCACTAAATAATAACGCAGCACTGGCCAATAAATTTCCAACTGAACGTTTGTTAATCATTGGTTGACTCCTCCATAACAGGCATGTATGTTTCTCTTCACATTCCGTATAGATGATTAATAAAGTGCCTTGTATTTTTTTTTCAATTCTAATTATCTTGGAATCACAATATTCTTCATTATTACATTTTGCAAAAGATTTTAAAAGCTCATCGAGGCATGATTCAAATATTATAAATTTGTTTTCAATAACAAAATATTCTGCTGAAGATTCGTAAGCTTGATTTTCCGCGAAACCTGAGGTCTCAGTGTCATTATCAGAACTTATAGTAGACTGTAACATTGGTGATTCAAAAAATGAACTTTGTGAACTTGGTGTCATAAAAATGGTTCTTTTTTTGGGAGACTGATAAGGTGAGGATTCTGAAAATTCCATTATTTCATTATCATTTAATTGACTAGTTTCAAGCTCTATAACTTCTGTATCCAATGACTTCTCATTTTCAGATTTATTAATTTCTTCACAATATTCGTGTGGTCCAGTCCAAGTTCCAACATCATTAGACTTCAATAAACCGATTGTAGAAGTAGCAACACTTACTGACCTATTTGTCTGTGTGCCTATAGATCTAGTTTCAATTTTACAAATAGAAACAGCTTTGTCCAACGTCATTTTTTCAGTGTTCATTCCATGATTAGTGAAATTTGAAATAGTAGGAATGGTGTATACTATTTCCGAAGAATAGTCCTGGCCTAAAACAATAGGAGAATCCTCTCCAGTTGTTGTTCGAGAACAACGTTTCTCAGTATTTTGCTGATGGATGGGATAGGTACGTAAAAAACGGTTTCCAGATAAATTTAAAATTTCTTTTGGAAGGTTTAAAACTCTGTCCCTCAACGTTTTTTTTTTAAATATGGTAGGGATGGCTTCCGGATGTAGTTTTCTAAATTTTAATCCTATGTATGAGTAACAGTCAGGGGTAAAATGTAATGAACATAGTTTCAAAGTAGTAGATTCAAAACGCTGCAATATTAGCTGGATGACCATTTCAATATTATGAAATTGATCACCAGTTGCTTGGAGCCATGCTCGAACTTTTTCGGTTGAATTAGGAAATCGATGCAATGAGATGCGTACATCTGTATTTGTTTTGTTGCTAATGCATCCCATCACCAAACACTTAGGCATTTTTCTGACTGAAAGAAGAAAATAAACTTGTAATATACATTTTATTAATGAAATATATTATTTGCAAAATCATTTACACAAAGCTACTGGAAGACTTCAAGTAGAAATGGATGCAGTAGTCTGTATGTGCAGCATTTGCATATTATATAATTGACAAATTTAGATTTACACATATGTAAATCCACTTACAGCAACATCAACAAAGTGTCATCAACCAGATCAAAACTAAAATGAATACAAATAATTCACCGACCAGTCTCCCCACATTGTCATGGCCGCAACGTTTTTTTTCTAACCCCCCTCCAAACTCCACTACATCCAATAGTCCCCCTACTAGTAAACCCCAAATTCCCAAAAGTCCAGGGCACTGCCATCTTTGTGTGGGCAGACGAAGGCCATGTGGGACACGTAATCTGCCCACACTAGACAGCGCTGTGAAATTCCTGCACATGCCCAGGTAAAACACTTGTGCATTCGCTATTGTCCTAAATTTGGCAGCAGAGATTTTCAGCTAATCATTCGTCAAAAGACAAATGAATAAATAGAGATTTCACACAAACTAAGACCAAATTAGGGTTTTGGTTCAGTTGATTTTTCTTACCCTGTTGTGGAGTCACTGGCTGCAAATATCAGGAATTACAAAGCCTTCAACAGCTTCCTTGTCTTCACTGTAGTAGAAACAAAACCTGGAAGATATAAATACCAAAAATGTTTAATTCTTTAGGTTGTAAAGATTTTATGTTTAATTGGCAAGTAAAAGCCTTTTTACTTACCAACATCATCTGTCTGTAAATGTTCAATATGCAAGGCTGAGTTTTGGAGACACTGGCTGCAAATATCTGGAATTACAAAGCCTTCAACAGGTTCCTTGTTTTCACAGTAGTAGAAACAAAACCTGGAAGATTGGAATGGAAGATATAAATACCAAAAATGTTTCATTCTTTATATTATGTTGTCTGGAGTGATTGATTGCTATTGCCAGATTGCACACCTCTGTTGGAATCAAACTTTATGACCGTTTAAGCGTTCAATTGCAATTATTACAGTTATTGATAAACTGCAATAATTACACTGCAGGGTTATCTCTACCCCTAATGGCTGTCTTGCAAACAGCCACTATAGGCACTTCAGGGTGGTTAGGCGAGTTTTGGTCACCTGATTGCTTAGCATGAGGACATCCAGCATCAGGTAAAACCTAAGATGGTATACCCAGTTTTCAGTGTGCTCTCTACAGAGCTTTGAGTGATTTAAGGTACAAGATCAAGCTATCAGTGAGTTCTGTATAGCTCCACAAACAAAAAATTATCCAAGGATCTCAGACTCTCCCACCGTACAGGGGAAACCCGCTGAGAGCCACAGGTAGGGCCCCAACCCTTGTGGATATGTGCGAAAGGGGGTCACTTGCAGACTTTGTAAAAATTATATGGTTTAGTAAATAAACTAATTCTCAATACATATGCTACTAAGAGACCGGCAGGAGGGGAGCGCTGTACAGTTCGCTCCCATCCTGCCGGTCACCATGAGATTGCGCTGGCACTGTCTCAGCTGAGCCGCCACACTGATACTCCAACCCAGCAATCCTTGCGCTGTTGACATTCATGGGCGGGAGCTTGGTCTGACAAAAATGGAATTAAGGGCTGAGATGGATACCGGGGGCTAGTCAGAAGCCTCCAAAATGAACAGCTGCAAGAGCTTCTCTGAAGGTGAAGAGCAGGATGGCAAGCAAGCATAGCTCCTGGAGGAAGTGCTCTGACAAAGACACCATAGGGGAGTTTACACAGGGATCACACCAAGACCAACAATCAGCTCAGCCACACATATTCCGCAACAATGTAAGCATGTGTATTTATGGTGTGTATGTGAAATGAAGGTGTTTGTGTGTTAATAGTCTAGTTCCGCCACTGGTGTACACCCAGTGGCGGCACTAGACTTTGAGGCCTTAGGCGAAACTCAAACAAGAGGCACTCAACTAACACTCATAGTAAAAAAAAAAAAACATATAGGGGTTGCATCGTGTGTATAATGAGCTGTAGTTATAATGTATGACAGGTTTGCAACGCTGGATACAGAGAGCTTGTCTCTGTATTCACTGTTGGGGTGAGTGTGGCACGGTTGAAGGAGAAAGTGTGACAGGGCGAGGGGAGGTGAGAGTGACAGGATGAGGAAGGGTTATGTGACAGGGTGAGTGTGGCATGTCTAGGCAGGATGAGTGACAGGATAGGAGAAGTTAATGTGATAGGGTGAAGGGGGGATGAGTTTGACAGGGTTATGGGTTATGTGTTGCACGGCTAGAGGAGGGAGTGTGACAAGGCTAGTGAAAGTGAGTCGGACAGGATTATGTGACAGGGTGAGTGTGGCATGGTTGGGCCCAAGTGAAAGGGTTAATGTGAAAAAGGATGAGTGTGACAGGGTTGGGGGTGAGTGTGACAGTATGAGAGAAGATGAGTGTGATAGGATTAGGGGGATTAATGTGATTGGGTGAGTGTAGAAGAGCGAGGGCCGGTAATTGTGGTATGGATGGAGGGGGTGAGAGCGACAAGATTAGGAGAGGTTAATGTAAGCAAGGCTGGGTGAAGGGGGAAGGACAGCATGTGGGGGGTCACAGTGTGTGTGTGGAATTGTGAAGGTGGGTAGGTGAGAGTGTGGGAGGCATTGTGTGCAGGGGCAGTGTGTGGGAGGGGTGACTGTATGTATTGGTGACATAGTGTTGGGGGCTGACAATATGGGTTGCAAGTGTGTGAAAGGGTGAGAGAGCAGTGTGGAGGAATGTGACAGTTTTGGGGGCAGGGTGTGAGTGGGTGAGAGTGAGGAGGAAGATGACAGGGTGGGGGTAGTGTGTGACAGTGTGTGGGACACAGTGTAGTGAGGGCAGGGTGTGTGACAGCATGAGGGGGGTAGGGCAGTGTGGGTGGGAGGGCAGTGTGTGTAGGTGGACAGTGAGGGTGGGAGGGCAGTGTTGGGGCAGAGAGAGTAGGAGGGCAGAGAGGGTGGGAGGCAGGGCAGTGTAAGTGGGTGGGCAGTGTGGGTGGGAGGGCAGTGTATACAGGTGAACAGTGAGGGTGGGAGGGCAGTGTATGTAGGTGGGCAGTGTTGTGGACAGTGTGTGTGGAGGCTGTGACAAGCCTCCACACACTAAAATACCTTGTTATGTAATATAATTCCCTGGTGGTCCGGTGGGATGACTGTTCCGTCTGCAACTCGGCGAGAGCTGCAGACCTCGTTCTCGCGAGCGCCAGTCAGAGCGTTGCCGTGGTAACCCGCGGCAACACTGTGAGCTCGCAAGAACCTTATGTGATCTGCAGCTCTGCACTCGGAGGAGCTGCAGATCAGAGGCTGGCTCTCCCTGTGGGCAGACCATGTGGAGGGGCCACCCAGCGGCATAGTGGGCAAGCTGCCGGGCCCCCTCTCACAGTTCAGTCTGTCCTAAGGTGATTTAGGCGGCCGCGAGGCCTTAGGCAGCCGCCTAAAATCGCCTAATTAGAGAGCCGCCTCTGTGTACATCTATACTGCGTTTGAATGAGGTGTATAATTTTTTTTTGTTTTTTCAAGTTTTATGTACACACAACTCGTAATACATACTTTACATAATTCTTATCAATGATATTCCATTACTTTAACCAATTTATCTGTACGTGCTTATAGTCACATAGCATACTGAATAACATTTGTTTACACAATATCATTTTAAGTAAGAAATTAACAGAGGGAAAAAAATAGTAGTGTAGGCATTTGATTGCAGGGGTGCGTTTGCATGTAGTGTTGGCATTTTATAGTAGGAATGTGTTTGTATGTAGTGTTGGCATTTGATTGCAGGGGTGCGTTTGCATGTTGGCATTTGATAGTAGAAATGTGTTTGTATGTTGTTTTGATGTTTGAATGCTGGGATGTATGCGTACATACACACACGTACCTACACACACACAGACACCTACACATGCACTTGTACACCTACATATACCTACACACAAAAATACATATAAAGATACAAACTGGCACATCCTCAGATACACACATACTAAACAAACACATAGGCACAGACACACTTGCACTTACAGATACCTCCTACACTGACACATAGATTATACATACCTAAACAAACATTTGCACACATACACTAACATATCAACACACTGACACAAATATATAAACATGCACAATAGTACACAAACAAATTGCAATGTACATAGTATAAAAACCTACCCCTACTTTTTAGTAGAATGTGGCTGGCTGTCAATGACAGGAGTCTGAGCATCTATAACTCACATTTCCCTTTCTCCCTCCTTTCTATGCGCGCCCTCACTCACATTTCCCTCCCTCCTTTCTATGCGCGCCCTCACTCACATTTCCCTCCCTCCCTCTTTTCTGTGCACGCCCTCACTCACATTTCCCTCCCTCCTTTCTATGCGCGCCCTCACTCACATTTCCCTCCCTCCCTCCTTTCTGTGCGCACCCTCTACACACATTTTCCTCCCTCCTTTCTGTGCGCGCCCTCACTCACATTTCCCTCCCTCCTTTCTGTGCGCGCCCTCTACTCACATTTCCCTCCCTCCCTCCTTTCTGTGCGTGCCCTCTACTGACATTTCCCTCCCTCCTTTCTGTGCGCTCCCTCACTCACATTCCCCTCCCTCCCTCCCTCGCGCTCCATCGCTCACATTCCCCTCCCTCCCTTCTGTGCGCTCCCTCGCTCACATTTCCCTCCCTCCTTTCTGAGTGCTCCCTCGCTCCCATTTCCCTCCCTCCTTTCTGAGCGCTCCCTCGCTCCCATTTCCCTCCCTCCCTCCTTTCTGAGGGCTCCCTCGCTCACATTTCCCTCCCTCCCTCCTTTCTGAGGGCTCCCTCGCTCACATTTCCCTCCCTCCCTCCTTTCTGAGGGCTCCCTCGCTCCCATTTCCCTCCCTCCAGAGCGCTCCCTCGCTCAATTTCCCTCCTCCTTCCTTTCTGGGCGCTCCCATTTCCCCCCCTCCCTCCTTTCTGAGGGCTCCCTCGCTCACATTTCCCTCCCTCCCTCCTTTCTGAGGGCTCCCTCGCTCACATTTCCCTCCCTCCCTCCTTTCTGAGGGCTCCCTCGCTCACATTTCCCTCCCTCCCTCCTTTCTGAGGGCTCCCTCGCTCACATTTCCCTCCCTCCCTCCTTTCTGAGCGCTCCCTCGCTCCCATTTCCCTCCCTCCTTCCTGAGTGCTCCCTCGCTCCCATTTCCCTCCCTCCTTTGTGAGTGCTCCCTCCTTTGTGAGTGCTGTAGGCTGGGAGTTAGTCAGACGATACGCTCTGTGCTGTGGGAGCTGAGCCTGGATGATGTCTCCCAGTAATACCGAGCAATACCGAGCTGCACATGGACCGACCGACCTCTTCTATTAAACAAACACAACACACAGCTAAAATAGTGTTAGTAATATTAAGGAGGAGGGATGGTTTAGGTGCCCGCAGTGTCAGAGAGCTGCTTTGTATAATGCCAGTTTAGATTAGCGATGTGAATGTGGCTGGAGGGATGGCTTACCTCAGGATCGCTGAATGGGAACTGCAAACTAAAAGGGCGGGAAACCACCATGGGAGGGTGGTCTGACGTCATGGTATGTATGGGTATGGGAGCAGGGAAGTTACATTCCTGCTCTCAGAAACAGCCGGCTTGGGGGCGTGGCTTAAAGCCAGATTTTAACTCCTTCATACAGGAAACTATTTCAAAAGTAAGAGAAGGAAGCAAATATTTAAGGCACTCTAACAATTTATTTGATTAAGTTGTTAAAGTGCCTACAGAGAGAGAGAACATATTTGCACAGACCTGAATCTCTGGGTGGAGATTCAGGTCATAGCCTAAAACCTGTCTCAGAAGCCAAAACTACACAGATTTAGAGACAGAAATCCACACAAATGGGGCAACTCTTGTTCACATATCAATTATGCAGGTACATAGTATGTGAAGATTGATCAACTATAAGGCGCAATATCTCCAAAACCAAAGTGGCACAAACGTTAATTTTTGCGACACAAAATAATTGTGTATTTATTTTTAAAATGTAATAATGTAGGTGAGGTTTGATCAAACATAATGCGCAATATCTTTGAATCCAAAGCAGCACAAATGGTAATTTTTGCCGCCTAAAGTAGCGCAAACTAATTGTGTATTTTTATTTTTTTTATTTACTAACATAGGGTGCAAAATGGTCAGACTTTGATAAAAAAATATATATATATAATATGCAATATCTCCAAAACCAAAGTGGCACAAATATTTGTATTTGCAGTACAAATCAGCACAAATGAATGGTGTATTTTTATTCACCTTTTTACATGGGTGCCAACTTCACACAGGTTTAATAAATTAATAGATAACTGAAACATAAATAAAGTTGCCTAAGAATGGAAAATTAATGATTGTACGAGATTTGATTGTAGCACAGTAACTACAGTTACTTGGTTAAAGGAAGGTGTGCGTGGGGTGGGGGGGATCAGGTATAGCTGATTGGTTGTTATAATGGTGGGGGGAGGGGTATAGCTGGCAGGCTGTGATGGTGGGGGGGGGGGGTATAGCTGGCAGGCTGTGATG